GTTGTGTGTTGGAGCACACCGGGGTTCTTCCCCAGCCCACACAGCTAGATTTCCCATGCGTGGGAGCTGTGGGGTGCACCCACAGTACCGGAATCCTCCACAGAAATTCTGGATGCTTTGGCGTGGTTTGCCAACCCAGAGGGAGTGTCCTGGCCTTGGCACATTCAGACTTGCAGGTGATGGCTGGGGAAAGGTGTGTGTGTCCTGGCTCAGTGACAGAGCTGCCAGTCAGCTCTGGAAGCACAGAAATGCCATGGTCCCAGCCCTGGGGCAAACACTGAACAAAATATTTCAGGACTAATGAACTAGGTAACAAAGGTGAGGGTTTCACATTTAAACATCTCTGTCTAGTTCTAGTGCATAGCACTGGATAAGGATAAGGATTGAAATGACATTGTTCCTTGAAAATTCATGGTCTAAAGGTTGGTTTAGTATTGTTTCTATAGCACAGAGAAAATAATGTAGAAGGAAAATAGTAAGATGGCCATAAGACTTTTAAAAAAAAAAAAAAAAAAATTAAGAGCTCTTGCACAGTTTCTGTCCATAAAGCGAATAACTGGCTTGTGTGCTTTATGGCTTTAGCAACAATAAAATATTTTATCAGTGACTTCAAATATTTTTATTTACTGAAGTAGGATAGTAATTTCAGAAATGGAAGTGAGTTCATTTCATTGTTATAGAAAAGATGATGGTTTGGAAGCTTTTCTGCAGCACAGGTTTTCTTCTTGGGCAAACATTGATCTGGATGGGAAAATGTGTGTTATATTCATTAGAACAGTAATTTTAGAAGGAAGAGCCTTCTATGGGAAAACAGTGTATCCAACAACTGTTCTCTACTGATTGCTTGTATCAGCCTAGAGCTGTGTATTTCAGGCATTGAAAGTGGACTAGGTCTGTCTGTGAGAACAAAGTTGCAAATAATTTTGTTGTGTGTCTCAGCTGTGCAATGAAGGCTAATTCTAACCGGGTACAGTATAGGAATTACATTGTTAATAAGCATTTGCCAAAGGAGTGGTGTTTAAAACAACACTTAGCATTGCAAATGAGATTTCAACTGTTGCAGATTTTTTAAGTGGAAGTCCAAGTTTTAGCCAATTACAGGTTCTATGAAAGATAAAAGACAGCGACAACAGTGTTTCTTAGGATTAACCTCTAATATCAAAGCTAGCCTCTGCCTCAGCCCATAAAATCATTGATTTTCATGAAAGCCGGTTATGAATATGTCTAGCTAATAATCCTTACAAAAATTTTACTATCCTCTGAAGTAAATTATTACAAGGTAGCTTTTTTACTATTGAATTTCGATGCAGCTCACATTATGCATGCCATTATAGGGTCCTTTTCTGCTTGAGACATTTTAATATAAGAGGCGAATATGAACAATAACACGGTTTGTGAATAGTGGCGTATCATTTGCTGTCTGACCCACTAGTATTTCTACAGGTGACAAACATTTGAGGGTGAAAATGAGCACACATAGAGGTAGTCTCTTAGTCTCTTAAAATATCAAACCGTTAAAAATTATTCTTAAACAGATAACAAATCCCTCTTATAAACTGTAAGCAATTCACATGCTTGTTGATATTTTTAAATACCAAGTTGCCTGTGTTGCATGATTGATAGAAATTCCTCCAAAGCCTAACAGTAGATGAAGTTTCAATGCTGAATTTCATCTTGCTGACTTCCTGTGCAGTGTGGTGGTTTCTAAGCAGTGATTTCATAACTGTGCGAAAGGGTTAAACTAAAATGCACAGAGAGTCATCGCTTGCTGGTGGCTTTCTATACAGCTTTCAAACTGGGGGAGTTCCTTACTCTTCTTTCAAAACGTACCTGTTCAACTTTTCTTTCTAGATTTTATGTTCCATGCCCCTGCTTTAGCAGTCGAAGAAACTAGTGGTAGATTCTTACTAGATAAAACTTTGATTTTATTGTAAGAAGTTGTAGTGAGACGTTTAGAAAAGTATTATAATTCTTGATTACTCTGCTTCCTTGCATTGCTCTCAGCATTTCACAGTAGTTTAGAACAAATTCTGAGCTCATTTAGTCAAGAGACTTAAGATCAGGAGATGCTTCAGTGAATCCCAGAGCTACAATGTTGTCAAATCCAAGTGCAGTCCCGAGCAAGCCTTTGTTCTTGCTTTTCTGCAGCTCTGTGCCAGCTAAATCATAGATGTCGTACATTTAAAACAAAACCTAAAACCTTTAGTCACTGATTTCCTAACCGTATTCCTCCTCTATGGCTCTGGCATTGTGTCTGTGTGATGGACTAATCAGAACGGTCTCTCCCTTGCCTTTGCATAACAGGGATACCAGCATGCATTACTGAGAGGAAACCTGTTTTCTTCACATTTTACACATCATTGGCAGTGCTAATTTTGATAGATTCTCATTTATTTTTTTGCTATCTGAGTGGCATAAAGGATAACATAAAGCAGGAAGCCAGCAGTATTTGCAGAATATAATTGCAGGATACAGTAGGTACAAGGAATGAGCATTGCTTCTCATGTAAATATTTCTATTCTGAGTAACTGAGGCAGGAATGCCAGAGGCAAACCTGATATACAGTTGTTACCTTCACTAACTTTGAGTGGTGCAGAAGTATACCAAATCAGCATTTTAGTTAATGCCTTGTGCTGTGCTTGCACTCAAGAAATTTGACATATTAGAGAAGACATGGCTTAGTTTCAAATCATCCAAACACGTCTTTTGGCCTTTTTCTTAGAAGCTTTGTTCAGTCAGTGAATCAGATCTGTATTTTAATCTACTTAGCGTCAATAGCACTAGTAGGTAGAAGGAGAGTTGCAAGTTTTTCTTAATGTAGTTAAGTCTTAACTACTGCAGTTTGTTTCACGTGTGATAAGAATACACTGTTGGGTCATGTTCAATTTGGCATCCACCATAACCACCACGTCTTTCTCAGCAGAGCTGCTACTCAGCCAGTCACTTCCGAGTTTCTACTGACACACCACCTCTTCGACTCCTTTGATAATGTTTTAAAGTTCAGTGTCGTAGAAGATTTGTATTCTACTTACACTAATTAACCCACCAGCTTCTCCCATTATCAATTCCACTAACTATTGCAAAGCACCTTTTTCTTATTTCTTTAGAGATTTTGGGGGAAGGTGGGACTTCTTTTGGGACTTTGGCCAGAAGTGTTCTTGTGGTATACAACTGGTATAGTCCTGAGCAAAGTGCGAGAATTTGACTCAAAAGCTGTGCATCAGCCTCTGAATGAAACTTGTAAGCCTTACCAGGCTTAGATTGAATCATGTAATCACTGCATGGTTTTTCTGCCTGAAGTCATAATTGGCTGGCCAAGAAATTAGCCTTGGTAAAGTCAGTATTAAAGCAATCTGGGGCTGTTAAGTATCTTCTCATTCTAAAATAAATGATTGAAGCTGCGTTGTTCTTAATTTACGGACATTAAAGTGCTCCCATCTGCAATGACAACCTTAGGTTACTCTTGATGGTGTGCACTAATACAAAGACTTATATAAACTGTAAGGTTATTTTCCGATGACAGCAAAAAAACATGCTTCTCTGTGGCATGTTTGTCTCAGTTTATTCCTCTGTTATCATATTTTGAACCATGGCCAGCTGGAACATCATATGAGAAGACTCATTATTTAGTTTTATTTTTTAATAATCTAAACTGAGGTCACTGAGAGCTTGCTATGGCTCTTGTTATAGCCAAGAGAAATATTTCTGCGCCTATAAGTTTGCTGGAGACCTTCTTTGCCTTTAACTATTAATGATGGATTGCTGATGAGAGCGCAGATGAATGTGCAAAAATAGTTCTTAATTTGCTTACCCGGTGCAGCATACCTGTATTTCTATGAAGGCAAAGAGCTGAAGAGAAATATTATCCAACTGCTTATGTTCACTGTCTCTATATGTTGTCAGTAATTATATCAGTACAGAATTATGACACATCTGTCTTTTAGCTATCTAAAGAGGCATTCCATTTAATGGGTAATTTATAGTCATTAATTTCAGGGATATTGTTAAAAGACTAATAAATAAATCTTTATTAATTGAGTTACACTACTGATTTTAAAATTTACAATAGCTTCTGGGCATATCTTCTTGATTCAAATTTATGTGAAAAAAAATGCAAGATTAAATATCAGGAAACCTTGTTTAGGAGAGTTTGTGAAGGAAAACATATAGCTTATTAATCTTCCATTATCCCCCTTCAGGCATGGAGATAGGTAATAAAATACATCCTTACTCCTCTGCTTAATGCTTCTGCTGCTGCCACTCAGCTTGATTCCTGCTATTTGTCTGTTATGTTTGTGCAAACCAGTGGGCAGGAAGGGGGCAGAACAGAGAGGGAATGAGGAGAGCTGTGGCTCTTTCCCAGCTGTTCACAGCCAGAGAAGTTGTCTGGGTCCAGAGAACTGAAGTATTTTACTGTCGGAATGAGGAGAGAGAGTACCATGGCGCTGGGAGTCTTTGACTTGAAAGGAGATTGCTTTTGATCTCCTTTTGTGGGATGATGCAGCTAAGTACCTCTCTCAACCACACATTGCAACAGTACCATCTGGCCTCTCCATTTGTCATTGCTTTGTCATACCCTTGCCCTGTCTGCCCATCTATTCATGTGCTGCAGTAGAAAACTACCTCATAACACAACGGAAATGAACTGTCCCTTTTTAAATTCAGGAGTCACTCAGAACTCCCCTCCTGCCTTCAGACTTGCTTTGATATTAGTTTGGTATATTATGTTATAGCCCAGGTTGCATATTAACAGCCCTAAACTGTCATGTTTGACCCCTTCTGCTTCATTTGCATTTCACGTGGTGTGTGATGGCTTGCTACAAAAATTTATGCTGATGAAAGTTACCCATGATGAAAAGTATGTCTGTGTAACTGTTGCATCACAGCTGGAGAGCTGTAAGCAATACAGGGGAAATACTATCCAAAAGAATCTTGTGTTACTGTAATTACATACTGTTAAATAAATTAGCTAACATTCCTCTCATATCATATTTTTCAAGGGTGAACCAGGTTTCATTGGTCCACAAGGAGAACCTGGGTTGCCAGGGCTACCAGGAACAAAGGTAAGGGCAATTGGCCAACACTAGCCTGAAGCCCTTATAGCCAATGTCACATTCAACTTCCTCAGTATGTAGCAGAGACTGAGACTGGACTAACGGAGGAAAAGGCGGAAAGTCATAGTTCATGGACCAGTGCTATGATGTATGTGTCTTTGTGCTAATGCCCTCAAACAATGTGAAGGCAGATGTTATATCCATTCACAACTGAAGTTCATCCATTGCCTTTGTCCACGTTAGCATCTCAAAACTTATTTGTTCAGGAGGCAGAATATGCTTGACTGAAGAAACTGTATTTTCATAATTTATTTTTTTTTTTTAGAAAAAAAGCTTGAAAGTGTGTGCAGGTATTAGAACTTTGATACTACACACCAGACTCTGAAATACAGATCCATTAAACCTGTATTTTTTTCTTTCTTCCTATGGGTTTTTTTAGCCACTGTGTGGCAGAGTTAGAATATGATGAATCCTACAAACAGTCTCACAGTTTGGGAATATTTATTCCAGTCATTTCAGAATAGGGAAAAAAATACCCTACAAATCCATTTCCATTTTGAGACTGCCTTTTTTTGCCTTCGAGAAGACTGTATTTGCTTAGGAAAGAGTTCCCCAATCCATTACAAGTCACAGATGAACTTGAAAATGTTTTCTTCTGATGGTTTGGTTTCATAGGTCATGCTGAGTTGGTGGTGTGATGAAGACTGTCCAGTATTTTGTGATATGTGTGTATCTGTTGCAATAGGGTGACAGAGGAGAGGCAGGCCCTGTTGGGAGGGGTGAGCGAGGTGAACCTGGAGTTCCTGGACAAAAGGTCAGTCTGATTTTACATTGGAAATGTTTTGTTAGTTTTGCACCTATGAACACATCTTTTTCTGCCGAAAAATAGAGCAAAAACTTGATGAGTGAACTTTCAAATGAAAATGCTATCAAATACTCTAGTCCAGAAGACAATGGCCATTTGTGTGCACAGCTGTTGAACTGCAGTCTGAATGGACTTTTATTTGGTCTAGAAAGTAAAGATACTACCTACATACACTATCATGGAGTTGACCTAATTCATTCCTGCTGAAGTCCTGACCTCTTGTTCCCTAACTTTCAGCACTGAAGTTTGAACGCTTTGACCAATGTAGCTACTGAATGCAGAGAAAATCCATTTTGCATGCTGTTTTCTAACTCTGTAGGAAAAAGATCATTCTAACTACATTTTAGCATTGTCTTAATGTTTTCCATTCTGTCAATACCATCAAGTTTTCCTTTCCTAATACATCTTGAAAACAATAAGGCAGATTCTGTGCTCCTGAGCCGTTGGGAAAAGAAGTTGTGGTAACACTTTATTTTAATTTCCTTATTTTAGGATATTTAACTATCTTCTCTATCTCTTAGCTATCATTTTTCAGGAGCTATGGAATGTCATAGGTCATTCCTGCAAACCAGTGTTAATGATGTCTACTTTTACTAATGCCAATACTACTTTTCCTTTGGAAGGATGGAATCTGTAGCCTCTGCATGCTGGTGTTAAAGAGTAGATTACTCTGGGTGCTATTAAATTCACTGCCTTTCCAGATTCATTATCTTGGTCATATAAAATGAAGTATTTCTGCTGTTCCATACTGTAGATAGTCATTACTAATTTCTTTTTCTATGCACTCCCATTTCTCTATCATTTTTCTCCTGTCTATCTTCCTTCAAACAGGGGAAAACAGGTGAACCTGGATCTAGAGGCCCAAAAGGGTCAAAGGTTAGTAGTAAAGCAACTGTCTTTAGTGGAGTAATTAAAACAATGATATTTAGGATAAATTATTTGTAACATTTCAAAGAAACTTCACTTATCTCTTTAAAAGAACCCGTAACAGTCTGCAGTGTTCTTTATAAGTGAAATCTTCTGACTTTCAGAGCTAGCTATTAGAGTTGAATCCTGTGTGTTTTAAACACTGTGATTCTAGTTCTTTTTCTATTGTAACATCTAGTTCACTCTGCTCTGGTTTTCCCCGTGCAACTTGGTTTCTCTCTGTGTAACTGATGTGGGTTAGTCCTACAACATGCCAGGAACCAACACCTGACTATGCCTGTGGAGATTTAATTGGTTTTCACAGTAATTTTCTGGATCCGCGCTTTGATGAGTTAGGAATCAGCAGTATTCCATGTACTGCAGGCTGAGATATGAATGCCAGAAGTCCTACAAAGGCAAGACTTGTAGGTTGCATTACTATTTTACCTACTTTAAAAAACTACTTTGATTATACCTATCTATCCGTCCACCTATCCATCTCTGTATGGATACAGTTGGTTCACATATATGTAGAGATAAAATATATGCTTTTCTATTAGTTCATCCACTGTGCAAATACTTTGCTCACTGGACTCCTTCATGGTATATTATCGAGTCAAAGCAAAATGAGAATAGATTTGTTTAGGCGGTTATTGAGTCTACTGTCAGAATAAAGATGACAAGATAATGTAGACTGGTAGGACTGTAGTACTTTTAAGGTCCTTGAAGAGTGTCCCATTCACAGTGATTAAGGATATGATTAACTAAGTGCCACTTCATTTTCACCAGAAACATTGGAAAGTGAGGGAGCTGATGAGGGGATTAAAGCATCGGAGTGAGAGTAGAAAAGTAAATCAGCCTCTCATTTGCCTACGGTACCTGGGCACCTCCCAAATGCACCAAAAAAATAAAGATATCCCCTTTAATTCCCTTTTTATGAGAAAAGGTTATACAGTTTTCTTTTTTACCTGCATACCTGTCTTGAAAATCTAGCCCAGAGAAGTCAATGTAGTAGATGGGAACTTAATTTTTTAACAGTTTCAATGACACGTTCACTAGATGCTGCTAGGGCAATACTGAAAATAAAGGCAGATGGCACAACCTTGATTATTTCCTGACACCAGCCTGCTCACCATATTCCTTCATTAGCCCCATGAAAGTTCTGCGTTTTCTATAACCACTGGTGAATTAATCATTCTTTCCTGAGTTGTATCAGAATTGTATAGACTTCAAAAGGTGCAAAAGTTGTCGTTCTTATCCAAATTAATTTCAAGTAATACAAAGATATAAAATCTTTCTATGAAAGTGACTGTGAAATTAAGTGAATCATAGTCACTGGGTGTTGGATTATGAATGCATACATGTTTGAAATTCCCTTCATTGCTTGAAACTTATTTGGAATAGCCAGGAAGGAAAAGCTGTGTGCAAGATGGTAAAGATCTTAAGCCTGTTGCAGTAAGGAAGTAAAAGAAATCTAATGCTGACAGTAATGTTGTGTTTGTAGGGGAGGCAATGACTCACAAGCAGGGAAGTTCAGAAAGTTAGTGGAGTCATGATTGCAGAAAGAAGGTATATACACTTTGAAACACACCTTTGAAGAAGTTGTCGAGTGTTTTCAGACTGAGTGACTTCATTTCTCTAGCTTTCTCTTAAAGCCTTTGATAATAGCACCATTAAGAATAGAGAAATTATACAAGTTAATCGGTAATCTGTCTTTTATTGGTTCTTTGGGATTTCTTATTCCAAACCAATACAGCACTCTGTAACAATTCACAGAGAACCAAATGCATCATTGTCAACCCTGCCACTACACAGATTTTGAGGGACTTTTTCCTTTAATTAATTAAGATCCACATTCTGTTTATGATGAGAGGCCTTTTAAACCAGTTTATTTAAGGTAAACGTAATTAAAAGGGCAGAACTATGTGATGTATTGTCAAATGGCCCATCTGTTTTCAAATATCATCTTTACGTAGGGTGATACAGGTGACAGAGGTGACACAGGATCTGCAGGTCCACGGGTAAGTCTACTTCTCATTTCACTTGTTTGTTTTGTACTCTTAGATTCAGTCCACACTATGAATTGAAATTGTAACAGCAACTCTGGTTAAACCGGTGAAATTGGGCACTTGACTCTGGTGAAACGTGTGTTGCTAACTGGGCTTTAATATGAACACCAGTCCTTGCTGCTATCTGAAGCAGTCTCCTGTTTACGGTTCATGGGCAGGATGTTCCATGGCAGATGTTCCAACATTGTTCACAGCCAACACAGAACAAGAGTACAGGAACTGCTTAAATATTTGGCCTCAGATGTTTCATATATTTGCTTTCCCCCTGCAGCACAAGTCACTGTGTACTGATATGCTTGTCCATCTTTTTTCAAAAAATTGTTTTCCTTTAAAAACAATGTTTAGTTTAATGCTAACTTTTGTGGTTTGTAATAATACATTTTAAGTACAACAAGATTCCAACACCACAAAATCAAGACAAAGCATGTGTCAGCAACTAAGTGTCTAGAATATTCTTTGACAGGTGTCTCAAAATTTTAATGGAAAATATATTACAGGGGCCACCTGGGCAGAAGGGTGATCAAGGTGCAACAGAGATAATTGATTATAACGGCAATATCCATGAAGCTCTGCAGGTATGCAAACATAACAGAGCAAGAGTGGCTTAGTCTGGTCTGGGAAAAAGCGGTTTTACTGCATTGTATTTCTCATTTGTGTAGACCTTGAAAACATTTTGTGTGCCAAGATTTGATAAGCTTATTAATCAGGAATCTCGTTCTATATTTGGAAACCAGGTTTTCTGTTTGGTGTTAAACAAACTGTTTCCTTGATACAATTTAGCTGAGTGAATTAGTTTCATTTCCCCTGGAGACTATTGACATCATCTAATGAGGATAAAGCTGATTCATGGCTGGCCCTGGTGCTTAGTGCTGAATTCATGTAATAAACTACATACATAGGTTCGTTCAGCAGAAGTGTCTGCTTTTCAGTTCATGTAGTATAATATTGACATTTCTTTTTTTCCTCCTTTTCCTCTTCCTCATCCTATAAAATGCAAAGAGCAGATTATTTGAGATTTGGAAACCATGTAACATGGTTCCATTAGCAAGCTGTGGATTCAATCAGCAACTTGAGTATGTTAAATAGACCAAGCACCAGTCTTCCCACTTGCTCATTTCCAGAAAACTTATTTTGACTGGTGTGCAGAAAAGTGTGGAGGATTAAAGTGGGGTTATAAAAAGAATGAATGAGTGTTTGCATAAAAGCAAAGTACCGAGGTGACATATGTCATTGCAGTCAAGGTGATTTACATTGCAGTATACTCAAATGCAAATTCTGTGCAGTATAACTCCACCAAAGTGAATGACTTGCTTATGTGTAACTGAAGACTGCATTTGGCTCGTTGTGCATCTGATCATTTTCTCGCTGAAGCCACTGAACTTTTTTTCATGCATTTACTCAGTGGGCGTGGATAGATGTCTGGCCAGTCATTTGGTTTTCAAAACTCTTTTGAAAAATGAAAAAAAATCTCACTGCCTTTACTAATATCTAAAAGCCTGTATGTTGTTAAGGCTAAGTCCACACTTTCATTGTGAGTGGTGTCTATGGGGAAGTCTACGTAGACGTGGTGTGAGGGTCTGCATTATATCTGTCTCATTTGGTTTACTTTTAAGGGAAATCAAACACACAGCTTTCAGTCTTTTAAATCACTCTTTGAGTAAGATACCTAAAGTAGCCTGAAATTTATGTTGCATATTACCAGCCGCAGATTTACTAGGGACTCTAGCCCCTGTATCTCCTGTATTCTGTCTTTCTATCTTAACTCTGTCATCAGTGTTACTTTCAAGCTTACTCAGAAAAGCTGCAGCACATAAAGAAGTCTTAAAAAGGGACTAAAGCCTATTGCAGTGGTTGAAACATATTAGGAGACCCTTATCCCACTGTAAATAATTTCAAATGTCATCACCTCCTGATCTAGGGCAACAAATAATTAATGGGAATGGCTGTGCAAGGATGGTGTAAGTAAGATTATATTGGATCAGTTGAAAATATCCTTGTCAAATCCAGCTCAGTCCTTTCAGATGGCAAGAACCCATTCCTAAGTCTCCTGGTGCCAAATTCTTAGGGGTTCTGAGATCTGCAGTTCTCCATAGAAGCAAATGAGAACTTCCAGTGCTCAGCACTGAGCTGTGAACTTGCACAGAATTTGGCCTGTTGATTTAAGAAGTTGACAAGAGTTTGTAAAATCTCGGCTGCCTGTCTGTGTTTTGTTTTGTTTTTTTAAGAATTTAGTAAGAATTCATCAAACAGCCTAGAAGCTTCAGAATAATTTAGTTACTTTGCCTTGTGCCTCCTACTCAATCTCATGTCAGTGGAAAATAAGATGCCTTAGTCCATCAGCACTGAAAATTTCAATCTTAAAATTATCATCATAGTTTGAGCAAGACCACTGCTGTGAGTGTATGTGGTTTTCACTTGGAGGACCAGATAAAAATTCATGTGTCTGTTGAAACTGCTCTTTAGGCCTATTCTGCAGAATTTCCTAAGGCAAAAGGCAGTAGCTGCAAAAGTTTAACCTTTGCAGGAACTACAGGATCATATATTGAAATCTGAATATGCTGCTGGAAAGGAACCCATTAGCATGAACAGGCAAACACTGATTTGCAATGGGTATTTTAGGTTTTCATATCCAGATAAACTGAATTTTTCAGTATTCTTAAAGTTCTTGATATATATACATTACTATGTTAAAATACAAAGGACATCAAAATATTAAAGCCATATGTTAGAGAACCATTTTTTCCAAGTACGTTGTACTGAGCAGGTTCCAGATTCTTGGCAACAGTATGTATTGTTGCACTGGCAAATGAAGATTCTTTTAAAGCTTAAAACAGGAGATTTGCAAACCTTTGTTTGCACATAGGAAAACAATTAGAAAAGCTAAATATGTCTTGTTCCATGTAGGCCAGTAGGTTCTTCACAGGCAATAGTAAAGCATATGCAAGCAGCAGTATTTTAGGGGTTTTACTCTGTTTAAAAATATAAGCAAGGATTTTAATCACTTTTAAACACTTTTTCATTTGCTTTTAGATTCTTCTTTGGCAAAAAAAAAAAAAAATAGTGGCAGGTCAAGATATTTTGCCACCTTCCATGATAAAAATGTCTTTTTTCTTTCCAAACATTTAAAGCAGAATTGTAGTATATATAGCTGGGTTTGCAGACCACGAGTTTTGGATTTAGAACTGAACTTTTTTGCATATCTGCAGTTCTATGTGAAAATCAATGTTATATCTCCACTTAAGGAACTGTATTTATTAATCAAACATTGGTACAAAGCCTGCAGAAATTGCAAAACATAAGGCAAAGCCTTTATTCAACTTAAGATACCAACTCATCATATTTTCTTAAAATGTTTAAAAAGACCTTTTGGAACACTTCTGCTATGATTTTGCTATTCAGTCATGATTTCATTTATGTGATCTCATAAATCGTACGAGAACCTGCAGTGCTCACCTATGTAAAATCCTGGATCCCATAGAAGCCAAGCAGCTAGTACAACACTGGAAGTTAAAAATAACATGAAATAACATGGGGTTTACCCTTGCTTTTTGGAGGCATGGTGTCTCCGAGATGTAGCATAGGCTTTGCGGAGATGATAATTGTACCAAGCAGAATAATTCATATCCTTGTTCAATTCTGGTAATAGTGTCTTTTGTTAATATATTTTGCCAACAGAGGATTGCTACCCTGACTGTCACGGTAATTCCTGTTGCATGACTTACTGTGTGTTGTAGAACTTCCCCTTTGTGTTGTAGCATGTGCATAATTCTGCTAGTTCAGGACATGCCTTCATTGGATGTCGACCTGGTTCATCATCACATGTATTTATTTATTTACTTTGTGTTCGCATAACAGAGGACCCATTGTTGAAATACATTCAACAATAGGAACAGTTCTGCTTCTGCTGAATTGATGGCAAAACTTCAGTTCACTCAAGTAAGAGACCAGGAAAATACAGCACTCAATATTTCCTTAGGTACACAACTAGGCAGATAGCTGCTTTGGAATTTTTGGTGTATTTTCCCATCTTTGTGTGTCTACATGGGAGTCAAGTGAAAATATGATGCACGATTTGGGTACCAAACAATTTTCTATTATCAACCTATTTTCAGAGCAGAAATTCAATTCTTTCAAATTGTGAAGAAACTCTGTTTGGGAGTTTTCAGACTAGATGTGAATTAATTATTTTCTGAAAAAAGGGCCTGTCTCAGTTAACTATAAATAACTAAAGCTAAGTAGATAGCCCAAGTACGAGGAATTCTCTTGTCCCATCTTATCAGATCTCAGAAATAAAGATAAATTTTCCAGCACCTCTCCCCAAAATATGTGGACAACTGAACACTCCAGCACTCTTACTCCACCCAATTTCTGTGGGAGGTATAGCTACATCGGGCCAGGCACAATCTCTAAGAATACTTACACCAGCTAGGAGATGCTTATAGTATTGCAGGTTCAGTCTTCCCTTAAAGCTGCAGACTTGGTATAAACTAATTATTTTATTATTCTTTTTGTTTCAAGTCCTTCTCTGCAAGATTGCTGTTAGTCCTATTTTCCCATCTGTACAAATGCTTTCTTTATATTAATGGAGGGGATTTATAAATGTGGGGTTTTTTTTAGAAGCATCTCCATTGTGCACCATCCAGACCATTATTTGACACATGCATGACACTGTGCCCGCAGCCTGAGGTAGAAATGAAAGAAATAGTTACAACTTATTCCATGGCAATTTCACAAAGCACCAAGTATCCATAACTACACTTAGCATCTTTTAGCAGAATCCTCTTTGCAATCAGTTGGAGATTTCTCCTGATTTTGGATCGGTTTGGATCAGGATGTGAGGGCTGAGAAATGTGGCTGAGTTGAGTTTTGATGTCCCTGCCATTAAGAGGAGTTTTGCCATTTCATCAATGGGAGCAGCAGGACTTTCTTATGAAATATGATCTGTGCTGTTATTTTAACATTGTGTTTTGTGGTAGCCTTCTGGTTGTTGAGAGTTGTCATAGATTAACAGCTTGCCCGTAACTGGTCTTGGTTTCCCTTGTGTTAAGAATCTAACCCATTTTGTTATGGGAGCTATATTAACATTCAGCCTGTGTTTACATGGCAAGTCCTGCAGGAATTTATCTAAAAGCTGAGAGGTTTGTATGTTTCTGTTTAGGGACCTCCAGGACCACCAGGACCCCAAGGGCTGCAAGGGCCAAAGGTGATCTTCCATATTTTCCCTGTTGTATCTTAAGGTTGGAGGTATTTTCTGTTTTTTTTAACTGATGTATGCACACAGGTACATGGAGGTTCCTTGTACAGCGTATTTAACATTAATTCTGAATATGGCATGTTTCAAACTTGGTGTCCTAGTCTTCTGAAATGTAGCTTTCCAGTATATGTGCTTTGCTTAGTTGCCTCACACAGATGCTCAGCAGAGAACCAGCTCAATTAATTACTACTGAAACAGGGCGGAATGATCTGCCCCCATGGATCTGCACTGAGGCTGTTCCCTGGGATGTTGCGAATGGCCGCAGAGCCAGGCAGCGGCTCCTGCGCATCGCTTCTGGCTGAGCAGGAGTGGGTTGGGCAGAACAGTGCACAAGGCACCACTGGCCACAGCACGAGTGCACGTGAACGCAGGTTTTATATTACACTGGTGCCCACCCATATAAGCACAGTCTTTTCTAATGTCAGTAAAAATTATAACGTGCACATGTGGGCAGGAGCCTGGCTGCAAACCCAGGCCTGCTAATCCCACCTGGCTGGTGCTGTGCATAGTACCAGAACTGTTAGCGAGCAGCCCACACAGAGACAATGAATACCATATGCTGCACTGCTATATAAAATTTAAATAATAAATTTGCCTATACTTTAAAAAAAAAAAAAAAAAAAAGGTGTTGAAGTTAGTTGACCCTCCTTAAATTGGTTTTAAACTAGTTGAGATAATTCTCCTATTTCTTAAATACTAGATAGATTGTATCCTCTATCAGTGACTCTAAGGTCTTTCAAGAGTAAATACATGTTTCTTCAAAAACAGTGCTAGATGTTTCAATTTTAGGCTTCATCCAAGGTACCATATGGAAATACGTCACATTATACATGTTAATTGCTTTAAGAAATTGTGAAAAAACAAGTTCATTCTTCTATGTGAAAATTGATAACGGAATACGCAGTTAAGTGTGCAGAAATGGCTTTCTGCATTAGGACGTACCCAGCATTTCTGCAGCCTGAATTTGGAGTGTGGATGAGGTTGTGTTCATATGGGTGAGCGTTCTCTTTCAAAATTAATGACGCAAAGTAGAATTCAACCTTACAGGAGTTTGCTTCCTATACCGTAGTCTCTACCCATCAATGTGACTTGCTCCCTTGGAGAATGCTGTTCAGGAACCGGTCATAGGGCAGTGTTGTGAATGTGAACTCCTTCACTGGGTGTTTTATATTAGCCAGGGAAAGAAAATGTGAAGTCCCTGTCTACCCTACATATATCGAGAGACACAATTCTGTATTCCAGCAACTGATAAAGTTTCCACTGGTTTTGGGTCTTTTCACCAGGTTTCTCTGGTTTCTTCTTCTTTTTCATTTCTTTTCATGCACTTGTCTGGCCTTTATACAACCCAACATTTGTGTAATGGCCTAATCAGCAGGGCTATTTATTCAATATGTTGCATATGGGTATTATATCTATATGCTGTTCTTTCTGACACAATGTTCTCTGGTTTTGCTGTTGTTAGTTATGGCAATTTCTCTGCCTCTTTTCTCTAATGTCTGGGACAATTGAGATAATCCAATTCCATCTTATCTTTTGCAGGGTGAACCAGGATCCCCAGGAACCCCAGGAGTTGATGGGGAGCAGGTATGTTATGCATAAATCATGTAGTGAAGATCATGTGAGCAACCATAGGTTATTTCAGGAGAGTATTTAGTCATCCCAAGTTGTAGCTTAGACTTCATAATCTAAATAATAATATAATGATAGTAATTAATAATGATCATTATTGTGTTGCTGCATACTCTGCGGTCTAATAATGGCTGCATTTCTACATATTAATAACAAAGGTCAATCCATAGAATGACCTATTCTGCTTATTAGGATCAAAGCTAGACTTCTGTTGGTGTCTCTGTTTTTTTACACATGACTTGCTGAATAAGTATGTATTTTAGGGTCCTAAAGGCTCAAAAGGAGATATAGGTGATCCTGGAATGCCTGGAGAAAAGGGAGGAATTGGACTGCCTGGACTGCCAGTGAGTATGAAAAATTAATTAATTTTAGCTAAAATACTTGTATTTTTTCTCTCTTCCACTATCAGGGATTTCTAACAGCAGTGCTGATAATTTACAAATGGGATAGAAAGCACTGGGGAGGAAAATTCTGAGATAGTTCTGCAGCTAATTTAGGAGGAGGTGTAAGATTGTCAGAACGTTTCATTCCACTTACAGTCAAGCAAAATACTCCTGTGGGAAGAGAGAGATTAGTTGTCATACTGATCAGATTTGTACTTCTTTTGTAATGTATGGCACAATTTGGGCAAGTGTAACTTGTTGGAGAAAGGAGTTATGTTTTGAACACCTGTCAGGAATTTCAGATGACTTCAACCGAGGAGGGAGAGAAAATGCATCAGTATTTATGGCATGCATTCTTCCTCTTCCATATCTATGTACAAATGAAATTTCTCAGTAAAAATAGAAACAATTTCAAAAATATATCCATAGTACATTAGATCATGAATGGAGTGCCAATTTAATGACTTGTCATAAATATCATGCCACAATTGGTAGCTGACTATAAAAGCATACTTTTACATTTGTTAATAGTTATTATTAAAGTAACACCAAATTTTTTTAAAAAAAGAATTCCATTATATGTGTGCTATATTATTATTTTTAAAAAATTATAATTATTTGCAAATAAATATTATAATTTCTGGATTGATTGCTAATAAGATTAAAGCTGTTTATAAATGATGTTTTGTAATGATTTTGTAGGGAGCCAATGGCATGAAAGGCGAAAAAGGAGATGTTGGTTTGCCTGGTGCCCAAGGTCCTTCAGTAAGTCTCAGTGTGGTGTTGCAGTGAACATAGGAGTCCAGCAGTGGTTGCCCAGCTTTTGATTCTGAACAATACTTCATATTGATGGCTGATCTTTCCTGACATCCTTGATGATTCCTACAGTTGAACTTTCAAAATATTTTTCTCTTTTGAATAATTATTTGCCCTTTTGAGAATGAATGGACTTCTGGTCATAGTGCTAAATACTGTTTAAGAAATTCTAAAGATATAATCCCGTTCTGTTCTGTTCTCTCACTATGAACAGTAGTCCTGCTAACTTCAGTGAAAGTCTGCTGGCTCTGTAATGAATCAAAAGATAAATGCTTTGCAAGATAAATTAGAGACTTAAAACGGATGGGGAAGACAAGCAAACAAAACAACAAACAAACAGAAACCAGATCTCTCTCAACACCTTTTATTCTGGAGATCTCAGAAAGTCCAGTGAGAACCAGACTGGTCTGACTTCAGTGATGTCAGTAGTGACATGTGACCCAGGATAGAGACAAGTTTTATGAGACCAGACATTCTCCTGATTTTTTACAACATTGTAAAGATACTTTAAAAGAAAAAAAAAAAAAAAAAAAAAAACAAAAAACAAAAAACGACCAAACAAAAATAAAAACCTCCCCACACAATACCTGTATGATATGGGTGATTAACATTATCAGAGCACAGTAAGTTAGGAAACCTTAGAGCAGAAGTTAACTACCACTACCTCGTCAGCGATGACATGTCCTGGGAATGAGGAGCCATATCTCTGAGGAGTCTACGGGGTTACCCTCTGCCATCACAGGACATGCTGGGCACCCTGTATCTCCGACCCCCTTTCTCTGAAATGAAAATTAATTTGTTACAAGCTAATTCGCTAACTCATTCATCTTGTTCTGCTTGTTTTCACTTAAAGCAATGCTTTCAGTTTTCAGGAGATTTCACGGGGGGTAGAATCCGTGTCCTAGGTTTCAATGCTCATTTTGTTGCCACCGTTACCATCACCAACAGCTAGTGTATCAGGGAGGTTGCGCCTAAGTCTGGAGACCTGATTTAGCACCCCTGCTGCCACCTTGCAGGTTACGGTAGTAGCCCTTTGGGATTAAAGCCAGGAGGAGAGGTAATATTAAACTGTAAATATCATCATGATATTCTCTTCCATGGATCTGTTAGGAACACAGAAAACCAGCACAGAATATGCATGCACTTAACGCTGAGCAACCTGGTTACCTATTTTAATAACTTTAGGGAATTCTTGGTACAAGTGGGCTAAATGGAATAAAAGGAGAGACAAAGGGCAATTTTGAAAATATGCCAAAATCTAGCTTGAATTTAGCATCTTTTCCACTCATCAGTATTGGGAGAGGAATAAAAATCACACATCATCTTTTTCTGTTTCTGTAGATTACATAGTACAGAGGCAACTAAGGAGCACACACCATAACATATTAAAAGTTCAAGCGTTCCTTCTCAGTACTGTTTGTTTTAGAGAGATGTCTTTTTCCCCATAGTGGCTTAAAGTATATCTTAGACCCTAAGAGTAAGAATCAGGAGATGGGCACACTGCCATATGGCACAGGCAGATCTACACTTCAGGTACTCTGTCTCTCAAACCAAAATAATTCCCGTTCCTAAATCCCTTTCAAGATATGCTGTTGATGTGCACTGTTGCATTGCTATGTTTGTAAGTGCTTGCCAACAGAAGGGTCAGTCAGACTTTTGGTATTTGTGAGGGAGTTCTTTACTCTGCGTGATTTAATGCCATTGTCTTTTTGTCTGTAGATGATAGGACCACCTGGACCACCAGGGCCACATGGTCCTCCAGGCCCTATGGTAAGCTTAGGAGGAAGAAAGGGCTTAAGCCCTCTTGTCATTTTAATGTCTGCTTAATAGAAGTGCCATGAGTGTATGTGACCCTTAGAGAGGGACCTAATTTAGGACCTTTTCTGCATGTCTTAAAATTTATAGGAAGCAGAGAAACTAATTGCACCTGTCTATGTTATTGTTAACATGCTAGTGGTCTGGGTCATTCTCTGAATCAGGGGTTTACAGTTGTTTTATTGGCAGCTGCGTTTCATTTGTGAGGACAAAAATGCAGGTGCAACTTGTACCCCTACAAAGCAACAAACTCTTAAAAATTCGTGGTGTATTTTCCTAATGAAAAATGGTATCTTTATTTTCAGGGACCTCACGGACTTCCTGGCCCAAAGGTAAATGGCTGTCTAAAATGGTCATGTTCTCGATGCCTGTGAAGTCTCGTGCTTTGTTCTCTAATGCATGCAGCTACATTTTGTCTTATGCCTCACTTAATAAATATTTCTGATATTCTTAAACCTTAAAGCAGATTTTAATATTAACAGATAGCTTAAAATCTTTTTACAGTTTCTGTGGTAGTTTCTGAGTAGTATTTCTCCTGAGCATTGGCTGAATCCATTTTTTGTATTAATATTTGTGATGTGGCACTAAATTATTTAGTTTCCTGCTTATTGTCAAGTTACTCAACACCACATTTGCAAGTGGAATTACTTTTGAACATAGAAGTGCGTTACACACTCAGGAAGTGGAGTCAAGTAAACTCTTCGTTTATGCTCTCTTGCATCTCCTACTTCTTCCAGTATGAATGGCCCTTCACCCTCTTACCTGCCATGTACTTTGCTGACCAGTTCCTTCACACATTATGCAAGTTCCCCGTCACAAACTCATGTGTGTATTTTCATGTTTTCCAATCTGGAATCCCTGATCAGGCTGCTCTGCAATACTATTTGAACGTTTTCCACAGCATAGTACATGAAGAGACACTCTAGGGACTCTAAGCCCATGAAAACTGCTCAGGAGGAGGGAAGGAATATTTTAATTTGTGCTTCAATTCAGTAATCACCAGTAAACTAAAATTCAGTGTGACGCTAGCATAGCGTTCATTAGGGCCGGTGATGTCAGGCGTGATCATTTTAATCACTGTGGCTCCCTAATCACATCCACCTTTCTCAAAAAATAAGGGAGAGGAGAAGGGGATTTTTTGTTTAGTTTTGGGGTTTTGTTTTGATTTTTTAGGTGTGAGACAGAAAATCACAGGTTTGACTCATCGTGAGGCTGTTTGTGTTACCTTGGCGCAAGAAGCCTGAGTCATAAATCATTTTTTGAAGTCAAGTCTGTTCCATCTTAGCACCAGCCCTGCCTTACCTCAGGGTTTTGGCCTGAGATGCAGGCTTTTGTGAGATTTCTCAGGTCTGTTTCCAAAACCTCAGCATTTTCAGTGCTACTGCTCTGAAAGTCACATCAAGTCAAAGAGAAGAATAATAAATAAATGGCTACTTAGGCAGGGTCCAAAGCAGGCAGGTGGTGTCTGGAGTTACTTAAAGCAGCAGACTAGATTCTATTGAGATCATTTTTTTTTTTTTTTTAATATATGAATATGATATAAGGTAACACAATACATCAAAGGGAAAACAAGGAACAAGGCCATGGGGAGCAGCCTGATTGAAGTACCCAGGTATTTCTGTTTCCCCAAAGAGGCAGTTGTGGTCAGTACTCTTTTTTGACTGGGCAGCCCTCAAACTGAGGTATTTTTTCATGATGCAAGAATGTTTTATTGGCAACTCCAAGTCCACCATTATCCTCTTAGTGATGTTTAGTGTAATAGCCTATGCATAATTTAACAATCACAAGTGCCATTTCTTATGTTGCTTAAACTTCTCTGTATGAACACGGAAACTGTGGGCCTCTCAAATAGCTTGGCACTGTATAACCTATACTGCTTGTTTTAATTTGTTACTCTTTAATTATGAACGCTTAAAGGTTTAAAATATCTTTATGTAAGATTTTGCTGCAAATTCCAGTTTGCCGTAAGAAAAAATACTGCTTCCTTACAAAATGCACTTTTCAGGAGATCCCACTGTAGAAGGCTGCAGTTTTGAAGCTTATTTTTCTGAAAGTTTTCTTTCAGTTTGAATTATCTATATAGGGTCATTTATGGGATTTGAGGAAATTCCAAAACCCCCTGAAACTCATGCTTAATTCGAACCATATAACTGTAGTGATAATCATTAGGAGAAGATTCAAAAGAGTCTGTAACTCATAAGTTTCCTGTAGTTCTTTTCACACAGATTTTAAATCTCCAGGAGACACCCTCCCAAGTGCTTTTTGCCCAGTACTATATGAATATATAACTTTCCAGTAAGCTAAGAAGTTTGAATTTGTGTTGTTGTTTCAAACTGGAATTTGCAGCCATTTCTGAGACTGGCTTCTTCTCTCCCGGCTTAAACATCCTTTATAGCACCAAAAACTTGGCATTTATACTTTTACGTTTAGGGTGAACCAGGGTTAAATGGTCTTAAAGGATTGAAGGGTGAAGCAGGTCAAAAGGGTGACAGAGGGCCCCTTGGTCTTCCAGTAAGTAAAAAAACCCCAACTATTCAATCTCAGTGCAAAGCACAAACTTCTCTTTCTACTCTTGATGAACAACTCTGGTTTACTCAACAGCACACACAAAGTATACCAAGTCAGAGCAGAGCATCAGTCTTGTTTTGTTTTACCCCAAATCTGTGCTATTGTCCAAAGTAATGTCCTGTAACATCCAGTGCTGTCGGGGTTTTCTGTTATGTGTCAGTTGAAAGTGTTCAGTGTCACAGGGATGCCATTACCCACATTACATTAGTCATATTGTTATTTCAGTGTTGTATGGTGTTTGCATTAAAAAAAAAAAGAATCTTCCGTTTTCCATGTCTCTTCAGTTATTCTTCCTCTGTTTGCACTTCTGCAGTTTAAATGGAGAGGTCTAACTGAGGAAAGTTACAAACTGATTTAGGAGAGTTCGTTTTTTTGCTCATTCATTAGGGATGGTGGATTGTTATTTTTGCCTTGTTCTTTAGAAAATTTCCATTCTGAGTGTTTGGCATAAATTTTGTCTTGGAAAGATAAAATAAATTTTCATGTTGAAATATGATGGGTCCTAAAATTTAGTTTGACAAAAGAGAAAATACTTTCTGTTGTGGAGGAAAAAAACTCCCTGATTAGTATTTTAAATAATTATGTGCGGGGCCTCTCGACAAGGTCAGCTTCACTGATAATTTTAATTTATTTTGGGGAAAAAAAAAAAGATAATTTTCAAGATGACAGTTACAGCTATGTAGAGAGGGAATTTTGGAGGTCTGAGCCAACCCCCGGAAAATGTCTAAAAGAAAGAAGAAGGTTTTGGTTCTGCCAGAAATATTTGTTCTAACCCAGAGCAAAATATGCCATTAATCTTTCAAATTTATATAGATCTTGTCTTTAATGAGGTTTTTTGCCTTTTTTTTTTTTTTTTTTTTTTTTTTTTTTTTCCTCCCAGATTATTCCCTGTCTCCCTAGCCCAACCTTGCTGCCAGCAGTGCTGGGATAGTCGAGCAGCTCTTTTTCTGCTGCTCTGTTATTCGCATAAAATCCACCAGAGGTCATCCCGTCCCCAAGGATGCTGAAGGGGAAATAATGTGCCAAAAATAGTGCCGGGTGCTACCTACTTCCAGCCCTTGACTGTGCTCCGAATTGGGAGTATACTGGGAAAACAGGAAATGTAATTGTCTCCCGGGCTCTTTGAAATTAATGAGGCCATTGTAATCAGGATCTAGATTTTGTTGGCTTCATAATACACTATTCTTGAACTTAAATACTTCCTATCACGGTTAACATACATTTTTCCTTTCTTTGTGTAGTATAATATTCAGTATTGTCATTATTTGCAAATTAGAACGCATGCAAGTAAATTACAAAGTAAATATTTGCGTTTTAAGGCTCAAAAGCACCCTAACATCTGGTGTTTATAGCACTTCTATAGCTTGATGTTATTCTGGCCTAAATACACTGGGGCATGAGGGCAGGGGTGGGTCAGTGATGTTACACTAATGTGAGAACAGAACCAGGCTCTTGATGTTTTATGTGAATTTTTAACTAACATGCTGTAGTAATGTGGTACCCATTTCAGAACCCTGTCACGACTTGTACTGTACGTTTGAATGATGTTTATTCATCGGCATCACTTACTAATCTCACGTTCTTGTCATTCGTGTTGTACCCACCATCCATGCTTCCACCTAACCACACAGGGAGCATCTGGCTTAGACGGAAAGCCAGGACCCCGGGTGAGTCCCTTGTCTTTCTGTGCCGATCGTCATTCCTGAGTCCGTGTGCTTCCCAGCAGCCGGGCTGCCTGTGCTGCCCGTGGGAGGGAAGGAAGGAAAGGAAAGAAAAGGAAGGAAGGAAAGGAAAGAAAAGGAAGGAAGGAAAGGAAAGGAAAAAAAGGAAAGGAAAAAAAGGAAAGGAAAGGAAAGGAAAGGAAAGGAAAGGAAAGGAAAGGAAAGGAAAGGAAAGGAAAGGAAAGGAAAGGAAAGGAAAGGAAAGGAAAGGAAAGGAAAGGAAAGGAAAGGAAAGGAAAGGAAAGGAAAGGAAAGGAAAGGAAAGGAAAGGAAAGGAAAGGAAAGGAAAGGAAAGGAAAGGAAAGGAAAGGAAAGGAAAGGAAAGGAAAGGAAAGGAAAGGAAAGGAAAGGAAAGGAAAGGAAAGGAAAGGAAAGGAAAGGAAAGGAAAGGAAAGGAAAGGAAAGGAAAGGAAAGGAAAGGAAAGGAAAGGAAAGGAAAGGAAAGGAAAGGAAAGGAAAGGAAAGGAAAGGAAAGGAAAGGAAAGGAAAGGAAGAAAAAGAAAGAAAAAGAAGGGAAGGAAAAGAAAGAAAAAGAAGGGAAGGAAAGGAAGGAAGGAAGGAAAAGGAAGGAAGGAAGGAAGGAAGGAAAAGGAAGGAAGGAAGGCCAAACGCTGTTGGCATTTCCCAGGCTGCATAATGGGGCTCCAAGCAGACCCTGAGGGCAGTGCGTGTGGGAAGGAGAGCATAATTCTCTGTCGAGGGAGCTTGGAATCTTAAAAAGTCGGTTTGGTTTTGATCTTTAGTTGGACAACTGCCTTGGCTGGGGTGCTTATTTTCCCAAGATCAAGGATTTAGTTTACACAGGAAAACTTGTGTGACTTGTTCAATGCTAATGTGGAATCAGTGAAATGGACACAGACGTGCTGGGGTTCTGCTGTGGGCATTCTCATATTAAACATAAATGGTAAATCATTGTTTTTTATAATGATGAAGAAAGGGATAAAGTGAAAGAGGTGTGGAGTTGTGTGTTTGAAGGCTTCTGTAAGATTCCCATTGACCACTGCAACAGGTAAATCCACTTTACAGGTGGACATTTTAATTTAAAAAATAATAAATATTTTTTAAAAAAATTAAAAAAAATCACTTTGTTTTACCCTTCCTTTTTCCCTAGCAAAATTTCCTTCAATAAATTTAAAATCTTTATAAATCTGATGATTTCCATGAATAAAGTAAAACCCAACTAGAAGAAAGAGGGGTTATCTCATAACAGGAGAGCTTATAGGTGGAGTTCTGAAAGCCAAATGGATTTGTTTGGCTAGGTCCCATCACAATTAAGTCTGAATTTTCAACTGGTGAAGACTGATTCCATGTTAGTTCTCGGCTAGAAGACAGCCATTAAAACTAAAGACTTGTAAGAACAAGACCTCTCTCTTAGCCCTTTTGTTTCCTTTTGTAGGGTGTAGATGGCCCAGTTGGTCCCCATGGCCCTGCAGGTCCTAAAGGAGACAGAGTAAGTATGTGTTCTATGTGCTTCTCTTTACAAAGCAACTACTGCAATGGCAAAATGTCATATGGATATTTATAGTGTACCTAGATGTTCCTAAAAATAACAGTATCTCATCTGTTTAAGGATCAGCCCAGAACTGTCTATGCATTCTAGTTACTCACACATTTATCTGTTTAAGGGTTGATTTTGTAACTCCTTAACTTCAGGGGAGCTAGTATTTTATAATGACTAATCAATAAAAATGTACAGGACTTCCAAGTTCACAGTGCTACACAGAACATAATTTGGTTGGTTTTATTATTTTGTGTAAATGGACTGAGGAAACAAACTGGGACAAAAGAAAATTGTGTGATATGATTATATGTGTATGCAATGGCAAAAAAAAAAATTGTATTTCTCACCTCTTTGCACTTACATGTTTTTATCTTTTTAAAGTTCTCTAACCTCTATACAATTTAAACTTTTTTTCCTTTTTTTTTTTTTTAAACTTAGAAGATAGGAGCCCTCCTATTTCATTTTAAGTATTCACAGTAAATTTTCTCCAGTGGAAGTAGGATAGGGACCTTAATCTTTAACTGTGAACCTGTCATCTTTAACAATACAACCATCGACTTACGCGACAACACAAGAGATGATACTTTATACTAACTAAAACCTTCAAGGAGTTGCTAGCCCAGAATTTTTGTCTGTCTTAATTTCTCACTTTAACAAAACAGCTGTGCTAAAAAGACTTCAGACTTGGCTATCTTAAGGACGCAGATATATGGCACAGGTCCAGTTAGCTTTAACAGCAGTGCATCTTGGAAAGGTATGTGTGACTTGATGATTCATTTTTACAGAGCTGTGTGTTGAGAAATAAATACACGACGTGCAGCACAGTCCAAAATAGGAACAGTAGACTGTAGTTACCACTCAGGCTAGTTAACTGTCTGAAAGACTTGGCTATTTTTCTTTTTCTCCTAGGGGATTACAGATGCAAGTCTTTTTTCAACTAGAACATAACCTTTTTTTCTATCAACTCTGTGAAAAGATAGCTGAACATCATCTTCTGAACTTCAGGAAATAATTTAGATGAGATATACATGTAGAAATATATATAAATACTTTACATTTTAGTCTTGCATTATGAGCTTTTATCTTGAAGGATATGCGTATGTACTACCAGTTGAAATTTCTTTCCAATACAATGTGCTACAATATAAACTATTCATGTAATGTATGGAAGATAACTATAATTGGTTTTCCTTATGAAAGTATCCAAGGTCATAATAAGTCATACAGCTGTATCTAGAATCAGCCCTACCATGGCTGTTGACAAGTATTAGTTACAAAGGGGATAGGAACTCCTGTGATGTAAATTGGTTCAAAAATTGTGTGAGCACAGAGGGACATATTTGCAAAAATATAGAAACTAAAGCGTGCGAGAAATTCTTGCAGAGCCACCATTTTCTGTGTAGCTAAATGAATAAGAGGAAGTTCACAAGAGAGATGGAAGGGGTTTTTTCCAAGTAATTGTTCATTTACTTATTCAATACTGTTTGGGAGAAGAAGTTGTTTGTAGCATAGTTATCTAACAGGTGCCTGGTGTTGATATATGTTTCATTATCTAAATAGCAAATCAAGTGACTTTGATGCAGTTGTACAACTTGCATTTGCAATTGTTGAATTTGTTTATGTGAAAGCAGGAGGAAAACATTTTTGTCTTCATATTTCAGACTTTGCCTTTTAATTAGAAATGGTATATAGTGCTACTGCTCACCATCACTGGACAGGATCATATTTTGTCCACACTGATAAGAAAAACTTTGGGCCAATATTAACCTAGAAAGGCACTAGGGATTCCTAACATGAAAGATACAATGTTCTTAAATCCACATTATTTAAAATTTGGAAAGACAATCTCACTTTGAAAGAATACATGTAAAATATTTATGTCTTCTTAAAAGTTAAGAAAAGCAAATATAATCAAACTGAAGACTAGTGATTTCTTCTATAGAAATCATTAATTCATTATTGCATAGGCTGCACTCTTCTTGGGTAGAACGGACTGTTGTGAAAATGAGGGCTGGTTGGTTAGTTTCCAATTTACCTATTTAGTTAAAATAGAAAACATCAGACAGTTGTCATACAAAACTTATTTGGATGGTGAGAAAGTGGACTAGGGAAATAATTCATGTCACTAGAAAATAGGAAAACATGAATTTTAGAACAAACATGCTGTTGACTCACTGTGTGAGCTTAACCATGTAATTTTCTTTCTGAACTTTAAACTGTACTTTGATTATTAAAAGTTTACACAAGATTTAACACTTCATGAAGGTATGATGCTGGTGAGCATTCCATTACTGGGGTTTTGTGCATTTATTTTGGTAGAAACAGAAGTGATAATTAATACTCTGAATTAATATAATTTATTAGGCTGGGTGTCTTACAGTCCTTAATAGAATCTTCAGCTATTGAAGATACCATTTTGCTAGGTCCTGTTGTGGTTGGAGCCCAGAGGGCAACTGAGCACCATGCAGCTGTTCGCTCACTCCTTCCCTCCCAGCGTTAGGAAAGGAGAAGAATGAAGCAAAAATGGCTCAGGAATCCAGATAAGGAAAGGGAAAGGATGGCTCACCCATTACAGTCACAGGCAAGAGACAGACTCGTTAGGGGAAGAAAAAAAGAACATCACTTTAATTCAAACACTAACAAAAACAACACTTAACTGACCAGGTGGGACAGTGAGAAGTGCCACCACATCCAAAACCACCCCCCACACACCCCTCCCTTCTCCCCAGGCTCAGCTCTGCTCCCCATCTCTCCCTCTGCTCCCCCAGTGGTGCAGGGGCAGGGGATGGGGGTTGCAGTCAGCTCCCCACTCCTTCCTCCTCAGGATGGGGGTTGAACGCTGCATATCCCTCCCCTGCTCCACGGAGCTCCCCTCTCACTGCAGACAGTCCTCCATGAGGCTTCTCTGAGATGAGTCCTTCCCACGGGATGCAGCCGTTCCCGAGCTGCTCTGCCATGGGTCTCCCCACGTGTTGCAGCCCTCCCAGTGCCGAACTACAACAGCGAGGCTGCTTTTCCCCTCAGAGCCCCAGCTTCCTTTAAGTGTAGCTGCCTGCTTCAGTGTGGGCTCCTCCATAGTCTTCAGGTCAGCCTCTGCTCCACCGTGGACCTCCATAGGTGGCATGGAGGGGTGACCCTTCTATCTCTACCACGGGATACAGGGGGACTCTGCCCCAGCACACCTCCTACCCCATCCACCTCCTTCCTTCCACTGACCTGGATGTTTGCATAGGTGTCCTCCTCACAAATCCCAACACCATCACAGGTTCCACTTCTTAAATATGTTCTTTCAGAAGTCCAATCACCATCGCTAACTGGCTCGGCCCTGACCAGAGGTGGGTCCAACTTGGAGCCGGGTGAGCTTTGAGAAGATTCTCACAGGGGCCACTGATGTAGCCCCCTCCCCTGCTACCAAAAAAAAACACCATTCAGACCCAGCATAGTGCTTAGAGAGCTTTTTCAGACACCATCTTCATTAAATGGAGGAGTCAGTCATAATAGGCCTCTGAATCTGGCTGTGTACCTATTAATCTCACATATATTGTCTTGAAAGAACATTGGTAAACAAATAAACATCTTAAGCTAATACTAAGTGAAAGGGGGCATGTAAACATAATGCGTATCCAACATCTTGTCCATCCAGAAGAAGCTGAAAGACAAAATTAATTAAATGCTAATTTCCTGAAACTCCTGCCTTGATGGCAAAGACCTCGTTTTGAGCTTGGTCTTGGCTCTCAGACAGCATAATCTGTGCAACACTGTCATCACTACACATGTTCTGTTGTAAGAGGTAAAATGCATTCTCTTTAATTTGATTAAAATATTTGTCACCATGGCAGTTACAAAATATCCATATCAATCTTAATGAAGACACCGATTATTCAGCTTTGTTCAAGCAAATGGTAGTTCATATTCACCCGTGATTCAGGAGACTGAAGTGAAATAAGAGGCAAAAAAAAAGCTAAAGTTTCTTATTTTTTGGACACTAATGAACTGTTTTACCAGAAGATATTAAAAACCTTCCTGAAGTTTGCAAATGTCTGTTTCCCTGAAGGAAATACTTTATCATGATGGCTAAGAGCAGTATGCCCATGACAGTCCATCAATCTTACATAATCCATAAACATTCAGAACCTCATCTGATATTCCACACTTATCTGATATTGGAGGCAAAAAAAATGTGAGATACATTTCTCTAAAAATATTCTTACATAACAGATGAGATTATTTCCTAGACTGATACATTCAGTATCTTTATGTCTACCATATGTTTAGCAACGTTATAGGCCTATCTTGAGAGGACTTTGTACAGTCATCTTTGCTGTTGAAGATTTAAAAAAAAGATACTTAACTAGTCTTGACATATTTCAAGTATTGATCAAACAGTTTTGTAGCTGTTACATGCATAAGTCAGCACATTAGTTTCTTCTCAGCAAAATGTTTTAAAGCTTCAAGGGATTTACTTCCCAATACCTCCTATTGTTCTACAAGGTCATCCAGCCCAAGTGCTGCTCAGAAATGGCTGGAGATAACAGAATCCAGAAAGATCGGGTATTACATTTCTAATCACCACTAAATTGAGTATAGACAGTATTCACCTCTGTAAAAACATGAAGTATCTAAAATACATTAATTGTCAGTTACGCTGACAAACTCCTTACTGCTGTGATTATTCAACAACAGGTTCAGACTCAGTTTATTCTGGTGCCTGCTTTTTTGGTATTATCCAGTCAATAAAATTGAGATTTAGCAGCCCATTTTCAGAGCTATGCTGAGGGACTGGACTGTGCTGACGATCACTGCTATTAATTAGGCACACATCTACATCTCTGTCTTGTGCTTTTATTAATAGAGTAATGCATTGGTAAGTAACCCAGATTTTTAGAGGATCTTGTACACAGAATTATCTCAAGAGCTTAAGTGCAGCAATTGTTAGGATGAAACACAGCAGGCCAGGAGCCTGACACAAAGCCTTGTGATAGGTTAAGGAAAGGAGGTGAAGATGGGATCCAAATAACTCTGTGTAACAAATCCAGAGTAGGAGCTTTGAAAACTGGAGGTGGTCAGGACTTTTTCTTAATCTCATCAACACCTGGAGCAGCTGAGCTCTCTCAAGAGAGTATGGCTTTTCTGCCGGGCTTTATTCAGGCGAGCGAGCACCAGTCTGAAACAAGATGGCTGCCCTGGTTAGGAGCCCTGCCTCCCCAGCAGGCCTGCACAGGCCTGCACAGGCCTGCGTGAGCCGTTCTGTGGGCCCGTGGTGGCTGACTCGGCAAGTCTGAACTCCGTATCCGTCCTGATGAAGAACAATTAGAGGGCAAAGATGATGACTGCTGTCAGCCTGAAATTTGTTACCCTGAAATTTCATTTAATTTGGAAAAGTTTGCTCTAGATTAAGCTTGCAAAATAATTTTGGTAGCATCCCTCTGGAAACTAGTAATTTTCCTGTGGATTTGAGTGCAGAATATGATCAAACTTCTAGGATAATCTCTGTACTTGTTTGTCTTGCACATCAATACAGTTTTGATTTAACAAACCAGGGTATTTACATCGCTAATCTAGAATCCAGTAGAGCAGTTAGCAACATGGTACAGTGCATGGGATAATCTTCACAAAGTCACTGTTAGTAGTATTGCCTGCTTAAATGCAAGCTTTGATAGGCATATTATTTTTGCTTGTCACTGTGTTGCATCTCAGCTGCTGTGCTGGATCTTGATGCTGTATATCCTCAGTTTTCATTATAACACTGGATTTTTACTGAGCGCAACGTTACAGCTGTGACAAGCCTAAAATCGAAATCAGTGCAAGTTCAGTTTGAAAAATATTTTTAGTTACTAATGGATTTAAAAACAAATGTAGTGTCATATGCCCGAAAAGTCATTTTGCCTAGAAAGTAATAAACACCTTCTCTTTTCCCCCTTCATAATTTAATAAAAATAAATGACCTTGGTTGTTTTTCACTCAAAAGATTTAAGAAGGCATAAACTTTAACCTAAAGCACTTGGTAGAGATCATTTCTAAGATAGACAATGTTTTTGTTTGCTTGTTCTGTAATCTTTTCTTAGGGTGAAAAGGGAACTGCAGGTGACCCTGGACCCAGAGGACCGTATGGCTTGCCTGTAAGTTGCACATAGTTTGTACACATTGAGCTTTTCATCACTACTTGATTAAACTTTGTGTGCTTTATGACTGCTTTTCACCTAGCAATGAAGTTATTTGGAAAAGGCAAAGATAGAGATAGATAATAATACCTGACAGTACAAGGTCGCTGGTCTGTATGATAGACTTAGATTTCTACCCATGCACGTGGTTGTGCAAAAGTAGTGAAACAGACCTTACATGAACCAGCAAGAGAGAAGAAATCCGGACTGCAAGTACTCCTGTTTCTGCAGCCTGTGGCCATCGGCGGTCTGGACACCATGCGAGAGAGGCAGGAGTTCAGGATAAACTGTGGAAAGCTGTGACTTTCTTAATGTCAGTAAATTGCTTGGATTTCCGTGCTGCAAGGTTACTTTGTCGTTGTATTTTTGTTTTGTTTGACACTTCAGAGACCAGTTTTGTTTTCATTTCTCTGCCATGTGCTGAGAAGCAATTTGGGAAGTTCATTGTTGGTCATTCATAGGTGGAGATGGTATGCTTTAAATCAACCATTTAATTCATATTATCCGCTTCTGAAACATGAGTGAGAATTTCCTTTGGCCTAATGAGGATAGCCCCAGTAAAATCAGTTGACTTACTCTGTTTACTTTGCTGGTGATTGAGTCAGGTGTGTACATATACACACGTCTGTTCTGTACCCTGACACAAGAAAATCCATGTAAACATGCTTGGCGAGGCACAACCAGCCTCTGCAAGAGACTGGCAATGTTTCCATACCCTCTCCAGTCTAATCTGTTTGATTAATTAATTTAAGATGGAATACAGATTTGTGGTTTAATTAGGTGCATTTAATTGGATCAGGAGTCAATGACTAGAGACAGTTCTCAGGCTCGGTGGAATGTTAAATTAGCTTGCAATGCATGTTTATCTGAGGGTCACTTTTTTCAGTTAAATTAAAAAAAAAAAAATCCAATTTCTGCTTCCCTTTCCTCTGAACTAAAAATTAAAAATGATAGGATTTTCTTCATTTTTAGCTTGCTCCTGGAATCTGCCTACAAACAAAATTTTACAGTCAAGCAAAATTTTACAGTCAAGTTATCAGTTCCTGGCAATGTTAAACACTGACAGAAATGTCCTTCACTAATGACAGTGCTGTGTGTTACAGCCTTAGAAACATGGGGTGCTGCTGTACAAAGGGAGCACAGAAGTCGGGCATCAAGGTGGCCGTTAGTATCGCAGCTTAGGGACACTAATGTAGTTTATATGGTTCTTTGGCAGGGCAAAGATGGCGAACCTGGCCTTGATGTAAGTAATATGTATGACCAGTACTCTTTTAATGGTATGTAAGCGTCTTTCAAGAAATAGCTTACTCGTGTAACAGCTTTGTTTGCATTTAGTGTGCATGCAGTACATACAGAGAGTGTGCCAAATGCTGCATTTGCTCTTTCTCAATGATAAAGAGGACAAAAATTATGCAATATACATCCCTTATTGACAGACCCCACTAGATATTGTGCTTACTAATATAAGTATTTGGTCCTTTGGAAGACAGTAGGCTGAAAAACTGCACTGGGTAAGAAAATACACAGACTTGTGACTCGGTCAGAGAAGAACAAGGAGTCACTAACATTTGGTTAAGTAAATTTATGCTAACTAAAGAGAATAGTTCCATAACCTGTAAGGGATAAATTTAAAAATATAAGTTCTTTATTTGGCATGCTAAAAAGACTTACTGAAGGCTTTTTATTCTAGTCCTACATTGAAATCCCTAACTTGGAGGAATCTTTTCCGGAATGTACATATGCTACATAACATGGACTACTGCCATTTTGAGTGATATGATGTATTTCCATTGCTGGCAAAATGACTCTACCAAACACTATTACTTACCTGTCTCACATGCTCTTGTGTGCATGCATGTGTACACATATAACGTACATATACATACAAAGCATGTAGTGAAATCATCTATTTTTATGTTTTCCAAGAGTATTTGAAAGCTTAACCTGCATGTGAATAAAAGTCGACCTATCTTTGTCCATTTTGTTTTTATAGGGTTTCCCTGGTCCTCGAGGAGAAAAGGGTGATATAGGAGAAAAGGGAGAAAAGGTGACCCCAGTGTTATTAACTGTTGCTTGATTCCTCAGCCTAGTCAGTTCTGCTGTCTTTATGCTATAAATTGTTCCATTAAAACTTATCTTTGTTTTTACTGTGTGCCAAAAGGCAGGTCACAGGTACACGCTAAGCAAAAACATGAAAACCCATGAAAATTTATGCACAGAACTACTAATATCAATATGTCCCAATGCACAGCTTGTTTTTAAGCTCCTTTTCTCCTATCCATCCTATACTTGTTGAAAATCCTTGTCAGCCTGAAATTTTTAATGCAGACATCAGTGAAATATGTCCTTGTGGTAGTAATTTTATACTGAAGACACCAGCTCTGTTCCTTGGCAGTATTTGCAGTATAACTGTTGAACCTAGTGTACCATGCCTGTACACACTACCTGTCCCACACCAAATGGATCAGGACAGAGACTATTTAAATTTTTATTTTTGGCAATGTCTGATACTTGTGGATTGAAATTAAATTATCTACTCTACTGTTCTGGTAAACCAGCTAGACGGTGAAGTAACAGAAGCAGCCTAACTTCGTTTTTACTGTCCAGATGCAGTGAGTTGGAAGTACGTTTAACAAAAAGCAATTTAGGACTAAATGTGTGCAGAGAAAGCTCATGAGCAAATCTTCCCTATTTCTAATCAACACAGAGCCCAGGTGCTAAAAGTGCTGAACTTGTCCTTACACCAAGACAGTTAATATAAAAGTCCATACACACAGCAGGTGATTTTTCTAGTTCAAACTACTTTTGCCTAGCTGACGTATACAGGGTTATACTAGGTCCACATCTCATCATGGTATCTTAAACAAGAAGCAGGGTTAAAAAGTCACCATGGCTGTTTGAGTTCATCTCCTTTTCCTAATACTGTCAGGCAAAACACTTACCAAGAATGCATTGATAAGGGTACTGTGAAATGTATCCTTCCCTTTTGTCCCTTGTTATATTGCTTATTTTGAGCTCAGAGACCAGTGGTAGGGTACTGATTTTGCAGAACAACTGTTGCTTAAGCAGGTGCTCTATGAATATTATAAAGGCAGTGTCTGACTGGGCAGAGTAATCACAGTGAATGGTGAACTCTTGCTTGCTGTCAAAGACTGCAGGTCTGTCTGACACAAGTGAACAGCTTTTCTTTTTGAGAGCAGTTATCAGTAGAAAGGCGTTACTGATAACTGCTGGCTCTGATAGATGACTGGCAAAACAGTCAGCACGTGCTAAGGGGGAGTTACAGTAGGTACCAAATCAAATGACCTTAACAGTATGTTCTCATACTGGGATACATTAGAAGGGTTGTGTCCAGAAAATTAAAATAAGTTATTACCCCTCTCTAATCAATCTTGGTGAGGTTGCCTGAATACTGCAGAAGGTATTTTGAGCCTCCCAGTTCAAGAAAAACTTGAGAAATTGGAGAGGAAGAAGGCTACCAAGCTGGCAGGGTCCTGAGGCACATGCAACTGATAGAAGAGGTTGAAGGAGGTGGACTGGCTTAGTCTGACAAATAGGAGGACAAACTACTCGAAGGGGAGATACAGAGATGATGGAACAAAATTCTTCTGGGTCATGGCAAATGGGAAAACACGGGACCACACGCCGCTCCTGGGAGGTTCAGAGTGGCTATTAGGAAAACCTTGTTCACAAGGAGGGCAGCATGTCACTGGGATGGTTTACCCAGAGAGGTGGTTGGACCACTGCCCACGGAGGACTGCAGGACCTGGTCTGGTCTGACCTGACCTGGGGTCATGAATCATCCTGCTCAGGTTGAGAGGTTAGACTAGGCGACCTCCAGGAGTGCCTTCCAACCAGACCTTCCGAGTCTGTGTTTCCATGTACAGCTAGAGATAAGCAGACAAAATACAGCCATCAGAGCCCCAGGAGATCTCTGGAAGAAATGCGGGAAAGCTGGTAAAACAGTTGGCTTATATAATATGATATCATGTGAAAATGGAACAGCTGAAATTCTTGCACTCAGGACGTAAAATATTTTAAAGTCCTAGAGTCCAGCATGCTGCTTTTGGGTATTCGTTCACTATTCCCAGAGAATGACTAAATTGCTCAAACACAGGACCTCCAGTTGCAAGAGGGCAAAGGAATTGTGTATGGAAATTGTGTGTGGCCACGAGGCATGGTGAGACCCTTTTTGGAGCTCAGTTGCAATTCAGGCTGCCCATGTAGCTTTGTTCTCTTGGGCTGCAAGACACATCTCATAGGAAGCCTACTCCTCCATCCCCCTAAAAATTCAGGAAAAGGCAAAATCTATTTCTTGAGGAGAATGCATGGGATAAAGCAGTTAAAAAGTCTGACAGATATTTCAGAAACCATGTTATCTTATGGGCGTTCAGATTAAGAGGATTGTCAGGAAGTCTATAGCGTGAAAATGGAGACGTAATCTCTGCCTTAAGAATTCTCAGAATATTCAAAGAAAATTAAAAGGCAAAGGAAGGTCCTTCTCAGAGAAAATCAGGGAAGATACAGCTGAGACCTCTGTGAAAGAGACGTGTTGCACAGTTTTGACACATTTTTTCCAGAAATAAGGGAATAGTTGTATCTTGCAAGTATACTGGTTTCACCAAAACCACCTTAGCTGCATCAATAGTTTCTTTTCCAAATGGAAGGCTCCCTCTCAGAAGACACAAAGTAGCGCAATTAATAGAAGCTTTCATTATAACAAATTTTTCCAGTTCTGATGCTTTTCCTTAGGTAAATTAGAAATTATCTATGACCAAATTGGTGTAACAGCACCCATTTCAACAGAGATAAACCAGTTTACAAGTTGAGGGTCCAGGTTATGATTTCTTGATATATAAATATTCCTTAACAGCACTGGCTGTTAGACTGATATTGCACAAATTGAGATTAGCAAGTTTCCAGTTAAGAAATTTAATTCAAATTACATTGCAAAAATATATATATCATTACTAACATTCTATTGAGAACCAGTGACACTTGTTTTTTTCATAGGCATGCTATGATGGGCAGAGAATAAATATTTACTTCTTCAGTTTGAGATGAGTTCTAGGCTGATTTTTATTTTAGCTTGTCAGTAGTTCCTGGTACAGTGAAAACAAGTCAGTGTTTGCATTATGTCTGCTTAACTTGGCTGTAAAAATAATTTTTTAAAGTGTTTGGTCTGTAATTACTGATGTAAAATTATAGTCCGGGAGCACTCAGCACAAAAAAGGTTTGTAGAATTGATCTGATATTTTCAAGTTGTATGAATGCAAAAAAAAAATCCCTTCAAAAATAAATAACCTTTAACAAAAGGTAGAGATTGTGCTGTGGGGAGGGGGGAGGGAAGGGGGCCCTGATCCCAAATGTGCAGTTGTATCTCTTGTTATAAATATTGACAGAGGAGTATGAAGTGTCACAACAGTGGCTGGACAGACCTCATCCTTTTCCCCCTACACTCGGTATGGATGAAAATCGGTGCATGTGAGCACTGGAGATTGTTCCAACCCTAATGGTGTTACAGCAGTGCCACAAATTTGTATTTCTCTAGGCACTGAGGAAGGGCAGGAGTTAATTTTTTTTTAATCATCATCACATGTAGATTCTTCCTATCTCCTGTGGATCTCTACAGTTCAGGGTAAGGAGATAAAGCCTGAGAGACAAGAGCTCAGTCTGTGGAAAAAGTAGTAAGGTACTTAGGAAATCCAGACCGTTCTCTACAGAGATGACTGCTGCGCTGATGTGAGTAAGATCATAGGTTTGCCCTGCAAAACTGGAAGTTATCTGCTGACTTGTAACACACGTTAAAGAAATACAAGTCCTAAGGATACATAACAGAGTCAGAAGCCAAATTGTACTGTCCATTTTCAGAATCATTTTTGGAGTATGTCCATACTCTGTGCTTGCATAACACTCACAGCTAATATACTGGTGTTACATCGAGCACAAATAACATGAGATTTGACCCTGAAACTACTGAGCTTCTGTGCTATGCTGTCATGTTTGTAGGTTTAAGATGAAAACTTAGCCAATTTACAGTTTCTGACTCATGGGGATTTTTTTTACATCACAATCTTATAATTCAGTGAAGAGGATAATGTTTGGGTTGCTGTTTTCCTAAATATTATCCTGTGACTTTTTGGCACACAGAAAAGTTAGACAAGAAACTTTGTTCCTATCTTGTCATGAATGCAGTATGTTTCACTCATGGAAAAGATTTTTGCATTTGAATGTGTCAAGTATGCTATGACATTAAATGAATAATGTGCTTTCCTTCCATTTTTAAATATGATATAGCCGATTATTTTTTGCATAAAAATGATTTTTTTCTCTTGTTAATAGATTAAGTCTTTCTGTACTAGTGTGGAACTAGTTAAATGTCTGTTTACTGTGCCTCATCAAAATCCGTCTGTCTTTCCAAAGGGGCATTCCTTCCTTCTCCTTTTACCTTCATTCCTTACAATTCCTCTGTCTTTTTTACCCTTTTCCTCACAAATAAAATCCTCCCAATAGCCACAACCTTGCTTGCTGGTTCTCCAATGTCATACTAATTTTCCTATGACTATTTTTTCCATTTCTTTGTGATATTCCTGATTTACTCATCCTTCCTATCCCATTTTTTTACAATCCTAGTCCAATTTGTTTCTTTTTTTTTTTTTTAATGGAACCTTTTTTTGATTTTTGTGAAATTGAGAGCAAACCTGAAACTCATTTACCATTGTGATCAACTGGTGTGAAATCAATTATAAAATGAACTCTCTAAACATCTTATACTGCTTGAAGGTGAGGTCATCTTTGCAGGTTCCTTTGTTGAGGGGAGTCAAGTCATTTCCATGAGTAGTTAAAGCATTGGAAGTTTTGCATTTAAAAAGAAAACTCAGTGTAAAATCAAAGAACTGAATTTCAATAAAATAAGCAGATGAAACATTGCCTGAAGTAGAGAGAACATTTAAATGTTGGAATATTTATATAAAGAATCTAATTATCACTTCTGATTACTTTATGATACCAAGACATTAGAAAATCATTAAAAGCATCATAGCACCTCTCCATCAAGCAGTTCAAATGTTTTGATTTCTGTAACAGGGTTTGAAATGGTTGTGTTGTATTTGGAATGACAGGAGTGCACCCTCAGTGATATCTGTGGGTTTCTGTGGACAAAACTGAGAACAGGATTTGTCGAAAACTCTTACCACAGTGCAAAGGGTTGGTTCAGCAAAGGAATATCCAGGCCAGTTTCACTCTTGACGTGACACCATGGAAGCTGACAGAATTTAGCCACAGACCATGCGTCCCCAGGAAGCATCCATGCCACTGGTCTTTTTTAGAGAGACTCTGCTGATGTACTCTGCTTTTGCAAAGTTACTTCTCACTAGTGACAAATCTTCTAGGGAAGCTGACAAATTCAGCCTAGTGTGCGTGTGCACTTCTGTACTATCACTTAGAGCAAATAGGAGATCTCTTATTTTGGACTGTGGATTGGGGGAATTTGCAGATTTGCCTCTGTCTCAAGAAATCAATGATTTGAAGCCCTGTTCTAGGATTCAAAACATTCACAGTACTGATATGAAACACCAACACAAACTAATAGCAACTGATTCCAGTTCTTGCTTGTGATCATATAATTTATTTTTCCACATAATGCACCATCCAAACCAGAACACAGTGGTAAGTGTCCTTTCAGCTCTCCATTGGCTTAAAAAGAAAACCCCAAACTTTTAAACCCATTTTCTTTAATTTTTTTCCAAAAGAATGAAACTTGTTTTATCCAAACCATTGTATCCACAGGGGGAAAAGGGAAAGAAAGGCAAAAAGGGGCCTAAAGGGGAGAAAGGAGAACAGGGTGCTCCTGGATTAGATGCACCTTGCCCATTGGTACGTCTTACTTGTGTATTGGAGATTCGATCGTCCTGCTGTAGAATGATGGAATAAGAACTGAGGAGAGAGGAACAAGCACCAGCTACTTTTTTAACGCAGCCTTATCTCAAGTTCAGGCAAATTCTGGAGCAGACTTTGTCAACCTCCTAATTTGGTTTAAAGCACAGAAGACCTTCAGGCTAAATTAATGGGGGCTGGTGGTGGCTTTTTTTTTTTTTTTTTTCCCATTATTTTCTGCCAAACATGTTGCAAAGGAACCAAATCTGGGCTGTGCCAGTCAGTGCCCCGCAGGTTGAAATCACACCACGGCGGTCAGCTTGCTCCTCTTGCCTCTCTATTGTTATTTGTTCGCTCCAGCTAAATCAATACTGAAGGCATTTCCTTGACAGTAACATTGCAAGTTAATCTTTACAAACAGGGATTCCGTGGAATTAAGGGGGAAAAAGGGGAGCCAGGCCAGCCTGGCCTGGATGGGCTGGATGCCCCTTGCCAATTGGTACAGTATTTCTCTTTCCTACCAACCCTGCATGCGGTTCCTTTGTTTGTAATCAGCCATTCCCAATGTAAAGTAATGTTTTTCTGAGCTGACTTTACATTATTCACGTAACACATGCATGTGCATGAACGAACCAACTGCTTCAGTGACCATAACCGTAATGAGAGAACACACATTCTTGTTGACACCTCAAACCTAACTCTCAGCAGTTTGCTCCCACATCACATGGCAATTTGTAAGTTTGTGTCCTTCCTACATTTTCCCTGAGAACTGTTGTTTTGTTATTTTCCTCACAAAAAACCTATTGCCTTACTCACCCTGAACGCAAGTCTTTGTAGAAATGCAGCACAATGTCCACTCCTAATCAAGTCTGACGACTTCTGTCTGCACTGGCTCAGTTCTTTACCCTAGCCTGTCCCAGAGCTACTCTGGACCCTGGACCTCCTTTCAGATCCATGCAGTCTTAGGTGCACGTTTTCAGGATTTGGACAAAATGAGAGTCACGTACAGAATGATGTAAATATTATTTCTAAAAATCAAATCATAGGTTTCCAGTAAGGCAAGCTGGAGCCTGATCTCCCAGACCTTACACAAGTAATAATTTTGTTGTCTGGCCTGTTCATCAAATAGTATTCAAACAGATCTGGAAATGAAAACTTACCTGAGGTTTCTAAGAAGATAACGGTCTGCAGCCCAAACCCTCACTGTCTTTGTTATTTAATGTCTTCAATTTAATGGTCTTACCCTTGGAACTTACCTTCCTGGAATACACACAACACTCCCCACCCTATGTTAGCATGAATTCAAGTTCCCACCTATACTAAAATTCTACTTGTTGACCCTCTCCCTTGTACCAATCTGGCAACAGTGATTTTTATTTAATGGCAAAGTAAGTTTAAATTCTTTTCCATGTTTAAAAAAATAAATAAATAGAACAGTACATACACATTTAAAGATAAAAGGAAGATTTTAATTGTTCACAGTAAAATTTGATCTGCATGTTCTGATATTGTTTGGTGGTTAAGCACGGTTCTCTAAGATGAATGTTAAATTAAGTAGATTTTATTTCAACTTCTAATTTGAATTTCTAATTTGAAGTCAATAGATTTTGATCTTAAATACATAGTCCATTAAGATTATTCCATAGTCCATTTGGTTTGCTTCCAATTAATGGTAACCATATCACACATTTTGTTGGGGATAATCAAGCATGCTTTTGTAATTTAAAAATGTTTCTCCATTATCATTTATATCTGGAGATTCACTAACAGTCATTGATGGATGAAGAATATTCTGTTCATAGGTAATTACTAGAATAAGCTGCTAAACAAACAGCCCTGTTTCTTGCTTTAGGCAGCAAGCTGTTCCTATCAGATTACATGCAAGCACATTCAAATATTCTCATTAACCACTGTCTTCACATGTAAATTCACATATAGCATGTACTTTTATTCTGTATTCTAAAAAAATGTCAAGGCCTGATTTTTTCTTCTATTCATGTAAAATCTAGTAACACGATACATGTCCCTAATTCTGAGCATATAATTCTTTGCATAAATCCTGTATAGCCATGTAAATTGGAATTAGCTCCATGAAAACCAGTATGACTGGAGCCAAAAGCTGGCTCTGATCCTACTGGATGCATGGAGATATGTGAAAGTTAGAGTGGTGACAGAAAAGAAATGGAGTGACTGTCTCTAACATAAGAAGAAATTAGATGGCCATATTGTCCAAGCAATTAAATAATCACTGCTGCTGTATTGCACTCCTCCCACCACTGATGATTTCTTCCACTGTATCACTTGAGGTATGTTCAGGCCTTAAGATTTTGCTGCTTCATTCAAAAGCTAAGAATGAAAGTGAACAGAAAAGATCCTACTCAAATTTGAGTCTTGCTATCTTATCATTGAGTTAACTTTGTACTAGGGGCCTATAAAACACAATACCCTCCAGATAAAAGTGATAATATTTTTTTGCTCATTGATCTTGTACATTCAACTACAGATTGTTGTGAATAACAGATTATATTTAAAATAATATGCAGCCTGAGCTCTAACAGCAATACGAAAGTGATGAAGATGTTCTAATGATTTAGGGAAAAACAAATCTTTATGTCAGAGGCACACATATGTATTTACAGTGTAAATCTTCTCTCCTTTGGCTTTTCTTTCACCTTGAGAACAAGAGAGTAAATAAGTTAGGAGCTGGTAGCTACTTATTACATAAAAATTCAGAGCTACTTCAGCTATTCTAACAGATACTGGTGGAATAGCTATCCTATCAAACTTAACTATGCTCTTTTTATTTTTATTTCCCTCCCTCCTTGAAACAGGGTCCTGATGGATTACCGATGCCTGGCTGTTGGCAAAAGGTAGGATGCTCAGAGCTTTTTCTTTTAAGGGGCAGTACATCCTTGGCACACAGGAAAGCCCGTCACGGTCATACTGAACAGTATCAGGATATACTTCAGAGCTTCTTAGATAGATGTATGCAGCAATGCAAAAACAAGACCTCACCGTGACAGTGGTTGATGTGATGAGGTTGTAATATATGTAGAAGTAATAACTCATTCAGGCGGTATTGTAGAAACAGTTGGCATTAGATTTCTGGAAGGTCCAAGACTTTTCTCCTTCATGTGAAGGCTTGCACATCCTTTGATTTCTGCACGTGATCCCTGCTTCCCATTCTTTATAAAAAAGCTCATGGATATGGCATTTTAATAAAATATTTATAATGACCTATTATGATATTATTTTTCTGGGTTCATCAGTGTGTCCTGCCCTTCTCTTTACCTTACCTTTCTCTTCTTCAGGACTTTCTCCTGGTTGTTACATTGTATGCTAATGTTACCTGGCAACATTATTTTAGTAAAGATTTAACCTAGACAGTGCTAGATTTAAAATCATTGCATTCAGAAAATGTAGGTGGAGGGATACTGGTGTATAATACATTAGAAAACATAAAGCATAAATGAAATCCTAGGTGCATTTATTGCTGAAGAATAGCTGGTGCTGAGGGAATAATTATCTGTATTTGCAACTCTGCTGTATCTATGTATTTGAAATAGGGCTCTGAAATACCAATTTACTAATTTGATTAATCTGTATCTCTTTTTGTCTCTGCAGTGATGAATCTAACCTTACAAGCATGAAGTTGTGTATATAGTGCTTCACTTTTTGTATTTATAGTTGAAAACTGAAAAATTTATTTTACAAGTCTGAGATATGTTTACATGTAGCTGCTTCTACTTGTTTGCAATAGTCCATGTGTACATCTTTTTTTTCACTTACATCTGCACTTAGATGATATATAATTGCAGGATAAACCTGCAAAAATTCTCTCTCTAATGAGAGAGAGAAAGATCTTGATACAATGATCAATAATAGAAATCTGATTATTTCTGAAAATTCATATATTTTGGCTTGTGGACCTGCATGGACGATGAGTGCCATGAACTAGTTTACAAGAAATTGTGACCAAATAAGAGCAAAATGCTATGAAATGTACTGTATCAGCTGCTGTTGGAGTTTACTGACTTGGCTTCCACGTCCATCTTAAACACTTCTCTGATTTGTGCCAACATATTTGCTTGTACGGACTAAAAGCATGAGTTTGTGTGCCAAATCTGCTTGTTGTGTGATCACGTCACGTGCTAAATGGCTGCTCACAGTGACTTTTGATTCCAGCTTCTGAATTGTTTCCTTTTGTCATCTCAAGGGAGTCACACCGTGGCTTATTGCTAAAAAGAGATAAACCAGAGGAGGATAGAAAAAGGCCTTGAATTTTTGGGGAATAGAAATCCAGCTGCAGGTGGATGGCTTCCAGTCTTGCAGGCCACCTGGCCCTTTTGATCAAAGTGGGTCCTGCCTGTTAATCAGCATTGGTTTGCCTTGCACTGCTCACGGTCGTGAAGACATTCACGATAGGGCCTGTCGAGTCCTTACTCAAGAAGGAAAGAAGTTAGAAGAAGAAACCAGACTTCTCTGTGGGTTGTTTGAAAAGGGTTGCAGAGGTGCTACAGGGATCATTTGATGGCAGACGCCGCCTGACACCAGAAGCTTCTCAACCTTACTCAAGGATGGACAGAGTATGTGCTCTGTGTATTTTATTTTGGGACTGCTGGAGGAAAAAGCATTCTTGAGGCGGGGATGAATCGGAACATCCTCTGGAGGAGGAGGATAATGGAACTGACCAGACACGTATGTACCATGGTGTGGTTTTCAGGTGATACAGTTTGGATTACACAAAACTAGCTGAACTTCTCTGCAGAATTTTGGAAGCTATGGTTAATTTTGTTTCCTTTTCCCATAACTGTTGCCAGAAAGGATGCATTTCAATAAGCTATTCAACATTTATGATGATGGCATTGAAGAAAATACTTCAAGTCACTTGTTCACCTTGTTTCAGTATTAACAGTTTTTATTTCAGAGTCTTTGAAGCCTTTAAGTCTAAAAATGAAGAGAGTTTATTTTTGTGTTTCACAGACTGATTTATTCATCTTGTTCTTTTTCTGCTGTTACAGTGACTTTAGTGGACATTACTACTCAAAAAACATTGGAGAGAAACAAGTTTGTGTGATTACGCTTGTCATCGCACTACACTGTTAAAGGTGTTGATATTTCTCCATTTCTGTTCAGATGACTGGTTTTCTAGAAAAACATTGGCAAGGTTTTGCTTCTCCACTTTTTTTATTGCTATAAATACTTAAGTTGTGCACATTTGTAGTTTTTGCCACGAGGTATTTTTCCCAGTTTTGAGTCTTCATATGGTGCACTGTAGTTAGTTTGAGAGACTAGTTTATGAGAAATGGTGTCATATTTGGCAGATGGAAATACTTTTTTACATCATTTCCATTCCTAGTGTATAGCAGGATGATCACAAACTTTTTTAGTTACTTTTCTGAGAGCTGTCTTTCCTAAGTAGACCAAAACTAAAGTTGAGCAAGACAGCCTGTCTGCATCCACATGCAGGCACCTTGCCCTTCTTGGAATGCATATTTTTCCTCGCTCCATCATTTCTAAATCATGTGAAGATGGGTACCTGCTGTGGTTGCACTTTTTGCATGGCTTCACAATCTCAGATCAATGGAAATGCCACTATAATGTGATCTTCTGCTTTGCTAAATCTTTATTGTCATTTTGGTATATCAGAGACAAAACCAGCTTTTCATGAGGGAAAATCTTCCACAGATTTTTAAAACTAAAAGTAAATTTAGTGGCCTCCATCTAGTGGTACCTTACTAATAAAAACAAAATTCCAACACTATATAGGTATATATACTGAAAAATAGGTATATATTTTTACTGCTCAGTTCCCTCTATCCGATAGGAAGAAATAAAGAAGTGTTTGCAATATGAGGAAAAATGGTTTTATTTGCTTAAATTTTCAGAGATGCAAGTATCAACCTGTTTGAATAATCATGATTACATTAGTAAAAGCCTTCACATGGCATAGACTGAATATAAAGTGTTAATAATCAGAGTGCTGCGGCAGTAATGTGAATGAGGGACTTCCCAGAAAGGGGACAAGAGGAGCACCATGTAAGCCGTCCAACTTGCCAGTTTTAGTCTGCTTCTTTAAGAAGCACTATCTCAAAAAAGAACAGGTTGAGGAGCAAGCTGCCCACCTAACAGGGAAGAGTCTCTTATGCCTATGTCCTGACTTGGCACTTTTGGCTAGGTATATTATAGATGCAAAGACTAGAATTTGAACGTTTTCATAAAATATCAAATACTGGCAATGATACAGTAAGATGAAATATTTTTTTAAATGTCCCGCAGAGTATTCAAATGCAAAATCAAGTAGGATGTTTATTATCTGGCTATATGTTTTAGCAGTTCCATATTGAGAGTGTCTACAAACACAACTCATTTAAGGAACAGCAACAAGATAAAGAGCTATTAAATGCATGCTGTCATTAGCACTTTCGTTTTTAAAAAAAATTTGTATATCTATATTTTTTAACTGTCCTCATGGCATCCATTTCTATATGCATTAATAAAGCTAGCAGAACCTTGGTTCATGATTTGTTCATTCAGGATATAATTATAAACACTACCGTTAAGCATTAGTCAAAACTCAATTCTCCTTTAACTCCCTGACACTGAGACCCTGCTGAAGAAACACATAAGCACCTTTATTCACTTTCTTTTCTGTCCTGTAAAGAAATTTCTTTATTTAACTCCTGCCAGGTAGGAATACTTTTGATTTTTTTTCCAAGCAATCTAACTTAACTTTTTAAAGCCTCTGTATTGTTCAATGTCATGAAAAGTTCATTCCATTTAAATGACCATGGGTGAACAGCAGATAAACAATTTAAATTAACAGGCTAAACCGCATACATAGATTTGACATTAATATTGGCATTTCAAAGATGGACTTGAAATGAAACCTAACAGTATCTAAAAAAGTTGCATGTTCAGTACAAGAAAGAAAAAAAATTGGCTTAATATTTCATCAGGAAAAACACCCTGACAAGACTTGCAACATGTTTATTTTGTTTAAAAAGCAACTACTTTTGGTGCTAGTATATCTTTTTTTTTTTTTTTTTTGATGGCAAAACTACAGTTTGAACCACCTGTTTGTTGCTGTATTTTTTAGTAGCATTCCTCTAAATAGATATGATTTGTTTTGTTTAGTTTGTGGCAGGAACAGTAGTTCCTCTACCAGTCTTTTTGGTGGTAGAAATGTGTAGTGGTATTAGTCTACACAGTTTCTATATCCTTGACTTTTTCAGGTATTAACTAATATTCAGGTATTAATTAATCCTTGTTTCTTTGAGAATTTTCAGTATTTGTTTCATACCAAGTTTTGTAACCATCTGTTACTCCAGTGTGTTATAACCACATTGTGCAGAAGTCCTGCTACAGAAGCAGCAAGTCTTTTAAGCACTGTATGGAATATGTCTGACATACGCAGTCCTTGTCTTCACATTCATAGATTAGCTATGGGAAATCTTTCTTTCAGGATACTTTGGACAACTTTTTATTTTTTCCTGAGGTAAAGCATGAAACGTTAATTCATGGAACAATGATACGATGTATTTTTTTTGATTTGTATTTTTATTTATTGCTGATTTTGATGTCACGTTGTGATAGTGTAGCAAGGCAGAACGACACTCTTCATCCAGCTGTTTGTACGTTCTTCTAGTCCACCGTGTAAGTAGCATGAATGAGAAATCCATAAACCTGTGTGAAGCACAGAGTTTAAAAAGGGGTAATTCTTAAGATTGGTGTACGGTGTGGAAAGTTAGCATTGGCTCCACTGAGCATTACCCTTGTGGAAGAGTGCACGTGAGCATCAGGCACTCGGTCACGCCCGCGGAACAGACGGTGCAGCCCCCAGATGAGACGGTCAGACCCTCGGTCCCTGCGGGAAGGCTGGGGGCCGAGTCAGGAGGGGTCCTGCATCCCGCCGGGGTCTGGGGAGAGGTGTCCCGGTGACCGCCGCAGAACCGGGATGCAAGCCTGGGCTCAGCCGTGCAGGGCTCTTCACTGGCCTGTGCCCGCCTTGCCCCGGCAATGGCACGGGGAGAGTGATGCTTCCTTCCCCCGCAAAGCGCTCGCGGCGTGCGGTGCGACACACCCCGGTATTGTGTTTAGTACCAAGGGGAATGTTACCCGCTTCAACAGCGGGGTTTTGCCCACATCAGGGCCACTGCACTGGATAAGAACTGCAGGGATATGCCCAGCCTATGGAATGCAGTGAAGATGTTCAAGGCATGCAGAAGCCGACCTTTCCTTTCCAATTCCCCGATCTCTGCTGCTTGACCATCTTAAATTCCATTTTTAAATCTCCGTATTATATCTAATGAGAGACCTAAATTGTCACACTGAAAAGTCTCACAAAGCACTAATATCTGCAAAGATAGTGGTCAAAAGAAAGTCTAATTTTTAGTCGTTGCAAAAAATGATTCCGTTTCAGTGACTAGAATTAAAACTTTCACATTTTTTTTTTATTTTTCTTTCTGCAACTTGCTTTTATGGATCTGAATGTTGCTGTAATGTACAAATGAAGGTTTTCTTGCACCCTCTGTTATTGAAGTATTTTACGTGGTGGTTGAATTTGTTAAATGCTGTTAGAAACAAGTGCCTGCCACAATCATTTCTGACAGGATTTGAAAAAGACACTCCACAAAACAGGTGGAGTTTGTATTTTAAAAAAGTATTTGGAGTGTTGCTTTTATTTCATTTTGTTTTTAAATGCATCCAATTATCAATGCTGCTTGGAAATTGAATTTTCTTGGGAAGACAGGGGGCCTTAACTTAACCTGGGACCGTTAGTGTTTTACTTGTTTCTATGGAAAAAAGAAATTGTATGAATTTCCCAGATACCATTGGTACTTGCACACTTCTCTGAAGTATTATGAAGAGTTGGGTTGGTGGAAGAATGTTTTACATATTGTTAACATATATGTGGATATTCTTATATTATTGTACATGTTTGGGAAAATATCACACAACTTTAAAAAATGTTACTAAGATGTATGTATCTGACTTTTTCCTTTGGAAAATATTATATATTTTTATTTGTATTTTTTACTTTTTTAAGTTCAGCTATATGTGCCATTATTTTTGTATTGCAAATGGTCTCATAAATGCAGTAGAAGAGATAAAAATACAAAGAAAAGTTATTTGGCGAGGATTACAATTCTTGGGGGGAAAAACACATGGGTCAGTATCGTATTATCAATACTAGAAATGTTTTGAGTGTCTTAGCACTGTAAATATGCCATGAGACCTCTTTTGATGAGTAGTGTAAAGAGTTGCAAGGTTTTTAATCACCCATTTTAATTTGTTATTAATTACCACTTTCTTGTGGCCTCTGGTCCTGACTTAATTGAACCCGATCAAACGGCATGCTTTTGTTTTTATTATTAAAATTTCTCCTTGTTTTTCAGTTGAATACTGTTTTGTTTTCTTTCAGTTTTGTACTTCAGGTTTTGTTTCTTGCTTGTGAGAAGTTGATCTTCAGAATTATTTTTACACTATTTATGATTTATTTTCATAATGTAAAAAGTGTGTAATTATTAAAATATTAATCCAACCATTGGTGCTGATTTTGCATAGTTATAAAGTTCTTAATGTTGATGCAAAAAATTATTCTACTCTGTCTGGATTGGAAAAAGTGTCTGCTGTGTTGTGCCAAACTGTAGTTTGAAATCTAGTGCAGGTCGTGTCCATCAGTATTCACATTCACACAAATATCAAGGCCTTTGCGCCATGTTCTACTTTCTTACAGTGTGCAATTAAAAAAAAAAAAAAAAAAACACAAACAAACAAAAAAAACCATCCTCCCTCTTCCTATTCTTAATGTGTCTTTTCCCTTCAAAGCCAAGTCTGTTCAGTCATCTTTTCTAAATGGGCAGCACAGGCTGTGGGCATCCACAAAAGTAAGGAAGAAGCTTTGCTGCAAACCCCAGAGCCTTTCCTTGCTCTAGAAAAGCTGCAAGGATCTGTGTATTAACCAGAAGTCAAAACTATTGTTCGGGCGAGTCCACAGACATCCTGGGATCCAAAGAAATAAAGCTGAAAGTCACCAGTCTCCTCTTTCTATAATACTGAAGGTGAAAAATAAACCTGAACTGCTGAGAAATAAAGATGTATGCAGGCCGTGTCATGAGTAACAGTGCAAACTAGAAAACGTGAATGTCTGTTTTACCAAAAATCCAGTTTGTTCAGAAAAAACGGAGTATAATACTTACTGCAATATTATGTATTCTCAAGTACACTGGTCTAAGATGACACATTTTTACAGGAGTCTTCTTGAAAGAAAGGCCTTCTTTTGAAAAATAAAATATGGCACAGCAGCTGTAATCTCTTCAAAGCATTATTTGAATGTTTGGGTTTTCCAAATCCCCAAATATTTCAGAAAAACAAAGCAAGCCCCATTGTTTCCCCTTCCTTCGCCTCAAAAATGCAGTCGCTCTAGGCTAAGGGAGAGAATGAGCACCATGGGGGTTTGAACTCTACTCTTGACTCCTGGCGATCTCCATAAATGTCCGTTAATCTTACCTAGCTCTGTTTTAGACTCGGGGGGTGGACACACACTAAAAGTTGCTGCTGCCGCCCTGGCTGGGCAGTCCCGACCCGGGCAAAGCCCTCGCTTCTGCTCCAGTCGCTCTTGCCCTTTTCTTTCTTCCATCTCCCTCCTTGCTTCTCCTTTCGTAGAGGAGGGAAGGTTGAGAGGGGAGCAGTTGAGGATGAAGCTGCGTTCTCAAACCCACAGGTGACCGAGGGCATCCGCAGCAAGGCAAGATCTCTCCTGCTCTGACGGGACATGGACAGAGTTCCTCTAACCGGGCCCAGCACTAAGCAGACATCACTCACTCTTCTTCCCATAGGGTTTCTTCTTCTTGGGCACCTCCTTGGCCTCCACAGGAGTTGTGGGCTCCGTCACGGAGATGCTGCTGCTGTTGGCCTGCCAAGAAACAAGCACAGAACACATTCTGGGCAATTGTTTCCCTCCGTTTTCCCCCTCGGTGCCGTAGCTCCTCTGATGTTAGCTGAGTCACCGTAGGCGCACTGCCTGCAGGCGACGTGGTTTTGGTGGTGACGTTACCAGTAAGGGAACTACCAACGCGCTCCGGCTGCTGCTGGAGTCATTTTACTGCCTCCCTGTTATTTTTCAGTATCGCACTCCCTCAAAGGTCAAACCTCAGCTAACCAATATCCTACAGCCTTCACATCCTACTGCACTCATGAGACATGACTTTCCTCTGGCATTTCCTCCATCATAATTCTGTGACGTGCCAAAGCACACACAGGGCTGCATGTGAAATGCCTGCCACTTCTCCCTCTCTCTTTTTTTTTTTTTAATGGAGCTTTTAATTAAATACTTAAAGGCCATTACTCACATTGAACTCTGCTTTGTGGACCTAGCAAACTTGCTGATCCCTACCCATTTCTACAGAAATCAAAAAAAATGCAACAGAACTAGCTTTTTATATCCTCATCTCACACAGGTTCACCTAGTGGTTCAAATATAACCACACACCAATAAGCGTTTAAAAACAAAAAGAACAAAACAAAACAAAAAGCTGACAAAACATTCATGTTCCAGCAAGTAGTAACAGCTGCACCCAAATAAATATTAATACAAAACAAACAAGGGAATGCTGAAGCATTTAAGTCATGTTCCTGCAAGCAGAATCTTTCTGTCTTGCCAGAGTTAATAATTTGTCTTTTCTTGTAGTTAATAATTTGTCTTTTCTTCTGTTGGCTTCTGCTAATTTCTAGACAGAGTACTCACAGGGCATTCTCCTCTCCTGACTGCAGCAGAAAAATACAGTGGTTTTGGATTCCTGCTCAAAATTTGGAGTTTGGATGTTCCATACACATGTATGTATATATGTGCATACAGACACATATATGTAAGTAGCTGCATATATATGCATGCATGCATATTAATATATATACATGACCTGTAGTGGTCAGGAAAATAATGTACATAAACCTTCTTAGAGACGTCACAGTCTGCTAGGATAGTTGTACTCAAGCTGCTTTAGTTTGTCTCTGAGGTCAAAGGTGGCCACAGCTCCCTGTCATATCAACCAAGACAGAATGTTCAATAACTAAGATATATCCTGATTATTTTTGTACTTGCAGGTTACTGCTTGACTGAGTTTTCCAAGTGCCCACACCTACACTGAGCAGTCACAGGCTCTCACTGGCATCACTTTCCTCTGGCTGCTCCCTCCTGGAGCTAATCAGTACCTGACAACTTTTTGCAAGCTTTTAGAAGCTCTCTTCTCTTTGGCATATCAAGATTTTTATAAGGTAATTGATTCTCATTGAGATAAGAATGATAAAAACAAATACGGCAAAAAAAAAATAGTAAACTAAGTTATCAACTCTCACTATTACAGCTTGTGTCAGAAAGGTGTGTACAGAATAAATTTGCCATTTAAAAATCTGCAACTGCCAACACTACTGGTACGTTCAGCATTGAAATGATTCTCAACAAAAATTATTCAGAACCCAGCAAGCATGCAAATGGGTCTGGAAAGTAATGCCATGAGGCTCTGGAAGTAACACGATCTTGCTCTTTTCTGCCTTCCCCTCGGCCTATGTGTACCCAATTAACACACCCTGCACTCAGCTGACTGGGGGGCCTGCTGCACCGACCACCGCATCAATTCGCAGACAAGTCCATCCCCATCCCCGAGAAGGTGCAGGCAGGTACAGTTTGTCCGTCTTTACCTTTCTGTGCTGAAACAGATCTTCAGTGCAGATCATTTTTCACTGACGATCTGTAATGAGCGTGCCTCTCTGGATGCACTAGCAATACATTGTTTTTCAGAGGAACAGTAACTCCTTAATCAGTTAAATAGGGTGACAAAGGCACCTTACTTGGATACTTTGTGTAGGTCTTAGAAATACTTACTCCTTTTCATCATTCATATGGGGAGCCAGGCTGCTGGTTGCTGGTACCCTGCCAGGACAAAGCCCTTAAACAAAGTGTGCAAAAAATTCAGTTAAAATGTTCAGAAAGCAAACAGAGCAGGACAGAGAAAAGAGTATTTAAAAAACAAAACAAGACAAAAAAAATACAACCCACGAGTATATATTAAAAAAAAAAAAAACAAAAACAAAAACAAAAACAAAAACAAAACAAAACAACTATTTTAATAATTCTCTATATCATGGAGAAATAGCTGCTGGTATTTACTCCACAGCATTATGAGGGCAAGCGGAAGGAGTGGGAGAGGTCTAAAGAAGCCAAGTGACAAGGTGCTGGAAAGCCCTGTGTCTCAGGCAGGGTCTCTGTCTGCTAATTGGAGAGGGGGAGAGACCTCTGCTCTACACATGAGACTTGGCAGGCTTGCTCCTGCTGATAATATCAAAAGAGCGTGCAAGAACTATGAGCCAAGAGGGAGGGATCTTTTTCTTCTTAAGCCTCTTCCCATGGCTGTGAAGGATCAGAGAAACACCACACATACCCAACAAGCTACTTCACCTACCACGCTTTCCTGACAAAGTTTAATATTGCTTCAAGCAATTAGTAATCTAGCTGTGAACAAACCTTCTTTTGCTAAATCTGGAACAAAAAAGCCCTGATACAAGCAGGGCTGGCTGCTGCTGTATGCTTGTAAAGGCACAGAAGCACGGTAGCTTGCATATCCCTTAAATCTGTTTGTGGTCCAGGGTTTCTGTGCGAGCAAGACCGGGCAGGTCAGCATAACCAGCTGAAATGTGTCCGTGTTAGCATTCCCAGCAGCCCGGGAGGAGACCGAGGCTGTGCTCGGCACCGGCAAAGGTCAGGCACCAGCCGGGTGTGGGAGAATCCTCTCTCCTGAAATGCCTTCAGACTCGCAGGCTCGCACTCTGCCATCCATCACCTGCACTCAGCCTTTCTTTACATGACTCTCACAAAGGGATTGCAGTTAAATCCAGCATACCGTGTGTACAACTTGGACTACGTCTACCCTATGCTAAATATCATTCCCCAGCTTTCAGATCTGCAAGCAGAATGGAA